AATTATATGTTTATATATTTATTATCTATAATAAATTATATATATGTTTACTTATTAGGGAAACTCTAGATGGGTCTGTTGCAGCTTTACTTTTTTGTTTGTTTTATGTTACCAAAATTGCCAAAGCTGTCTGTTTGTCTTCATTGCTTTACTAGAGTGCTTAGTTTTACTGGGATTGGTTTCATTACATTCAATATGTAAGGTGGTCCCTGCATTCATTAACTTGTCAAGTTGTTACCTGGGAATTAGGAGACTTAAAAGATTTGATTGAATTCATAAATGTTTGCACATTTAGTGCATTGTGATCCATCTATTTACTCTCAAGCCTTTTAGAATAAACTTACATGTAATTCCGTCTACCTTTTAAAATGAGAAAACCTTCCCCAGATTTTGCTGGAACCTAGTTTGATTGGCATATCTGAATGTCCAGTGTTTTTTAATACAGAAGGAAAGATCTGCAAGCGTTACCAATAGTGTAGCTTTTAGTTCTCTTGTATAGCCCTCAAACCCCTTGATAAACATGGTTAAAGAGAGAATGACCACCCACTGTGATACAAGACAGCAAAAAGTACTGTAAGAGGAACAGGAATCTCTGTGGCAGCAAAATCGCGTTTATTATGGGTAGTTGTGTATGTATGAATACTTTTGAATGAATTTAAAACTATTCAGTTATACCTTTTTTTTTCTTTGTCCTCCTAAAGGCTCCATATTTCTTGTAGAATTTTAAAATAATTTTTTCTAATGAGGATGTCTGATATTGTTACGGTAAAAGTTGAAACTGATGCAATGAAAGGTCCAGAAGCTGAATTTAAAGATACAGACCCAGTTGAAAACCTTATGAAATCAGAAAGTCAGGAGCAAATTCAAGCAGATAAGGATGAAAATTGTCCTGACAGCAAAAACGATATGCCGGTAAGAAGCTTTTCTCTTATTTTTCACTAATATATCTTGTTAAATTAATCTGTGTCTTGTGCTTCTCCTCTTTCTCGTGACCTTCTTACATGTTTCTTTGATACAGGCCTAGAAAACTTGACCAGTGTTTGGGAAGCAAGTAGGGTGATTATTGCTTCCTCTTCTACCCTACTTTACTGTTTTTATTCATATATAAATGTGAGAGTCAGATGGTTTTCTTTTTAAGTTATTTGAGATAGATGAGCAGTTTCCACAGGAACAAGGCTATTTGCCCTTATTTGTGTTTTTTTTGGGTGTGTGTGCTGAGTAGCAGAATAAGGAAAAAAAACTCGGTATCTCAAGTTTTCTTTGTTGTTGCTGAATCATGACTGAGTTCCAGAGAGTTGACTGTGTTAAGAATTACACTGTGTAGTAACAGTATGATTTGGTTAAAACACTGGAGTGTTGAGTGTTGCTTGTATGAACAAAGTGCTACAGCACAGCTCAGCACTTCTGCCTTGAGTAAGGGTGACCAATATAGGGCTCTTGGGCTCTGTACGCTTACAGGTGATTTGGTATAGCTTTTATGGCAGGACTATATCACATAAGGCTTAAGTAATCAGATATAGGTTATCCAAATCCCCAGGTGCCAGAGGAGTCAAGTCTCAGCAGAGCTCTTGAGGCTGCTAGGTCTGGGTCCTGCCCCAGCTACCAGTAGGAGGTTCAGCCTTCACCCCCCTGCTTGATGGTGGAGTGAGCCAGTGAGCTATCAGTGTGTCTTGGTTGTGAGCTAGTACTCCTATAGCTTCCATTTTCCTCAGTTCTCTGCTATTTAACAATTTTGGTACGTGGTTTATCAGGTCAGAAAGCTTAGGCTGGCCTCATACACGGGACAGTTTGAAGAGTAGGTGCCTAGGCCTTTGTAAGGTGGAAGGGAAAAAAAGTATCACAAAGCAATTGTGGCATCAACTCTTAAGTGAAAGAGGGGAAAAAAGGATAATGTATCAAAACATCTTGTGTTAAAGGAGAATGCACCCGTATGGATGGGTTAAGTGCTTCTAGCAGCATGTTTAATATCTCAGAGACTTAGCTACAAAGCTGGTGTTTGTGCTCAGGAGTTCTAAAGCATAGGTGGTTTTTTTTTTTTTTTTTTAAGGCTATTTCATGTGGGACGGACTGGCTACATCCTAGCTGAGGCTGTCTGCTTGGTAATTAAAGACAGGCGTCTCAGTGGCTTAGCTAAGTTGAGTTAAAGCAAGCAACTGAATTTTCCTGGTGCAACCTAGAAAAAGAGTTACCTAAAAGAAGGCGCAGTAGCTTGTGTTTGTCAAGAAATTAGCTTTTTATATAAACTTTTGTGTGTGTGTGGGTTAATAATGATTTTTTGATTAAAAATCCTGATCCAGTATTGGGTATAACAGTATTCTCTTGTGAGCTGTAAAAACAGGACAGTAGCTTGCTGGATTCTTGTCACTGAGAACTGAGTGAAAAGCTCTTTTAAGAGTAGTTTTGTTCATTACTGAGAATGCAGTATTCTGCTGAGTGAAGAAAGCTTTATTTTCTAGGATAAAATGCTTCCCAATCAATCTTGTAGAACACTAAAAACAATAGTTTTACACTTTAATATCTACTGGCCTTATTAAGGCTGACATCAGTGTAAAAAAATAATTTTATGAAAAAAAATCCTTAAAATTGAAATACTTTTCCTGTAATTCATGAGAAATAACTACCACTGATATCACAGAAGTCAGTTTAAAAAAAAAAAAAAAAGGATTGATTCCACAATTCATTAACTTGAAAAAATCTCATCTGCTTTCTCTTTTTTCACTGAAGGTGGAAAAGAAAAGAACTGTAGTGTAGAAACTTTTGAAACTCAAGCAGTAGATTTTTGCCTTCCTAAAAATAGTTTTGTGTGCTCAGGCCTAGTCCAGAGAAATGAAAGAGCAGTACTTCTGCTGTTGTCAGTGGTTGTGGGGCTTTGGTTTGTTTGCCCGGGGGGTGGGGGGGTGTTAATTGGTTTTGTTCTTGTACAGGTGTAACAGCTGGTGGCTGAAATAATTATCTGCTGTATGCACTACAAGTTGTACAACTGTGTAATAAGTTTTTCTGATTCACATAGCTTTACTGTCTTTTTCATGCAAAGTTGATATAAAGGTAGTGTCCTGAAGCCCCCGTCATAACCAGAGCATTGCTGTTATGTGAGTAGTACAATTAAAAACTAACTTTATAGTCTGAAGACCTTGATTTCCCAAGTGATAGGAGGACAGTAATTTGCTAACAAAAGCTCATTTCAGACAGCGGGGGAGTTGGTGTTATGTGGAGTTTTATTTTTTTTTCTAGCTAGTGGCTGACATAACTGCTCTATAGGTTTCATACCTATAGACAAACCACATTGGCAATTCTGAATACAGTTATCACTTGTCTTGCAAGTTGCAACTTAACTTTACAGCCTAGTAAGAAACTGGCTATGATCATTCCTCTATCTAAACCTGTTATTGATTGACTCAGGTATGTCAGGATGTTCTCAGTTTCAGAACCTGGTCATGATATTTTGGAGTATTTCTTGAAACCTAAATTCCAGATTATTTTGATGTTGTACATTAGTAGCCTGTTTGCTGTTTTATATGTTTTTGGAGGTATTATGTAAATGAGAAAAATGACTCATTATAGCAGATGGATAGCAATCTTTGTCTCTAAGTAGCGTGAGTGTAATATAACTGATACAGAGAAGATCATTAAGGAAATTTTTTGAATTATCATGTCTTGAAGTGACCATCAAATAGTATTTAAATGGGATTGGAAATGAGAGGCACTAACATGAAAAATACTTTTACAGATGTGTATGCCCCTCACTCTGGTAGGTTTTGTCATCAAAATGGGTTTGATTCATCAGTTGCTATGGCCTGATCTGTGCGCTTCAAGATCACCCTCCTGTTAAGCTCATCCAGATCATATGATGGCATACTAATTTTGAATTAGCCAGAGCCCCAAGTCTAAGGTTGTTTGACTTTATCACCTGAAGACAGGATAGGCAATGCCTCATCTACTGTAAGGCCTACTGTTATGGTGTTAGCATGTCAAGAAAAATTAAAAATAAATCAACAGCCTGGATTTAAATTGCGTGATTGTGCTTTTTATTCAATATTGAGTAAATCCATCTTTAGTATTCTTAGTCTGATCATTGCTTGCATAAATACAGATATTTGCAGTGAGGATGTTTTTAGTTCAAAACTATTTTAAGAATTCTATATTGGATCAAAAATACTGGTAACCCATTTCAGAGTAGTAAGATAATTAATTTATATTTCATTTTTCTTAATGCTATAATAAACATAATATTTATTACCTTTCTAGCTGGAAAAAAAAAGTGTGTTTGTAACTGCCGGATGTTTCCCTGGTTCAACATTATTAGCTTTCTGTAGTTTTAAATCTAATTTCACTATTGGCCACCATTTTAACCAACCAACCCAAAAAAAAAAAAAAACCCTTAACAGTTCATGGTATATTTGTTCCAGAAAAGGCAACTTTGTCCTTATGCTATAATCTATGGTTACATTGAGGGAGGAGTACTCAAGTCATCTCTGCTGTAAAACAAACAAACAAAAAAGAACAAAAAAACAAAACAACAACTACTACTACTACTACTAAGCGGATATGAGATGCTTGATGGGATAATAATTGTTAAAGCAGTAAAAAGATAATAAGAAAGAAGGGTGCATATTGGGAAAAGCACTAGCAAGCTGTGGAGAGCAGAAGAGAAAAAAGTGTCACAGGATGACAGAGGCGGTGTCATGCATGAACACAAGACTTGGCATACCTGTAGCATGATATGGGCAAAGCAAATATTGTACTGAGTGGGTGTAATTCTGTTTTGGATTTATGAAGATTAAGCAGATATCCTACTCCTTTGGAGGAATTAAATTAAACTTCTGACTTTTTCCCAGTGACTAGATGTCTCTATGCATTTTTTTTCTTCTCCATATTGGCAAACCTTTGTTTGCTTTTTGTATTCCTCAGTTCCTAACAGCAGTTGTCTGCTTCAGTGTTATAAAGCTATGGTGGTTCGGATTCTGCCTGTTAATTGGATTTAAAATTGAGACCTAATTTAGCAGAGGAGTTGAAAAACTAAAAGTCCTTACAACATTATTTGTTCAGGTCTGTCGTATCTATGCTCTGAAACGTCCAAGTAATGTTTCAGAACTATATACAGTACCTTCTCACAAAACCTTTCCCACTGCTGAGTTTGCTCTGGTGTGCGTGACCTGTTTTTGTCAACTTTTTAGCTATACCCAGCTGTACTGGGTTTGGTCCAGTGCTGCTTACCTCTCAGTAAGGTATGCTGGGGCTTATCGCCCAAGTTACAGCTGGTTGCAAGGGATTAAGTTTTCAATTTTGATGTCCTTAAAGTCATCCAGTTGGTAGGAAAACGAGGAACTCGGGCGTGTCAAAGGATTAATATTTATTGTTTTACAGGGCATAAGAAAGTTGAAGTTCCTTGCTAGTTAAAATGATTGGGATGGTATTTATCTTGTGTGTAACTCTGAGATTTGGTCCATTTCAATCATGGGGAGAATCTCCCTCCTACCATGCTCTACCCCTTGACCCTCCCCATGGCCACTGCTGTTGTGTTGGGTCCCTAAAAATTGCCAGGCACTCATGAAACGTTGCACCCTAGTGTTCAAATACCTTAGCTGACTGCCCTGAATACCTTGTAGTGCTTTAACCTTTTCCTCATAGGTTGCAAACACCTATCCATAAGAAACGTGAAATGCAGCGTGATTGGTAGTGTCAATTGGGTTGGCTTTTCAACCTGGAAACAAAAGTATAATTGTGTATGCAAAATGGAAGATGGGATAAAGCATAGATAAAACATTTTGAAGGGCTATATAGCCAAGCTAGTGCTGTTATGATTGAAATCTGAAAACTTCATTTATCTTAAACATTCTGGCAAAGAATTCAGGTTAGAAACTAGATGCACTTCAGTTTTAATGTATCAATTAAATTTTGAGGCACATGTTTCACTTTATCTGGCAAAATAAAATACACTTTGATTTTTGACTGCCATAGGTTCAAGAGACTTTACTGAAGAAAGATGAGGAGGAGATATGTGCTATACTACTTTTTTGTCATCATTCATCTAAAAGTAAATGAAATATTGATTATTAACAGTTGCCTTAACGTAGGCACTCCTGCCTGTTGTTTAAATGGTGAACTGAGGACTGCACTGGCAGTCCCCATTGATTTTGTTTAAGTGTAAGCTGCTTAGTTTGAACCCACCTAAGACGATTGGTACTGGAATAATTGACAGAGGCTGGGAAATGGTCCAGTTCTTGAATGTTCAATATCTTGGTATAACAGAAACTTTGCCAAGGGTATGCAAATTGCCAGTTTTCAGTATACAATGTATGCTTCTGGCATAGACGATTGAAGAGAAAAAATGTTTCGCTGATGCCAGCAAAACACAAATGCTCTGTCTTGCTCCAAATATGAGAACAGTTGGAGTGTCTTTGCTGCTCAAAACTTCAGCAAGCTTCCTTTAGAAAACTGATGATCGGTTCTGTTAGTTTTCACTTCTGCTAGTTAAAATCCTGTTCAGTAGTGAAATAGATAGTATTTAAATGAGCTTTCCTTCTGCTGTTCTTCAGCTTAGCTGGAGCAACAACCAAAAAATACATTTGAGACTTGAGGAAAATGAGAGCAATAGCTATTCTTCTGCCTCGACGTGCTAGAACCCTTTGCTTTAGGTTGGACGATTGGCAGCTGCCTGAACAGAGAGGTAGTGGAGCTGGCTGGTATAGCCAGCCAGCAAGCGTATAGTGGGTGAGTAGAGGTGTGTAAAATTTTGATTGAAACGAGGAGGGGGAGGGGAAACAAGGTTAAAGAAAATTAATAAAGTAGTATAGAGGTAGAAATAGGGAAAAGATCATCTTTCCTCGACTTTCTTTTTGCATTTTTGGAAGCAGGAAGGTAAATGCCATAGGGTGATATTTTTGTCAAGTATTTAGGGGGCCAAAAAGTTTTGACCATTAACTAGCCCTTTTTAAAGTCAGTGTTTATAGCTCCAGAGGGAAAAAGAAGTGCCTTTTTTTTTTTTTTTTTTTCCCTGATTATGCTAGGCCATTATTTGCTCTGCTTGTCAAAAGAGTACTTGTTTTCATATGACCATCTTTGCAGGTAGTTTTCAGGAATTGGAAGCAAATCTATAAAACAGTGTCGTGTTGCCAAGGAAATTAGGACATGAGAATTTGAAATATAGGAGCTAGCTAAGAGAGTCAGCTGTTTAGATCTCACTAAGCAAAACTGAACAAGAGTGTTTGCTTCCTGTTTAAATTCCTGTAATATCTGTTGTTGATAAATGAAGAGGAGAGATCAAGGATTTCACCCGGTGAAAATGGGAAAACACGTAATCCTTCAGCCAAAAGCACCTGTTGCTCGTTTCGCAGATATGACAATCATATTGGTAGTAGTTATTACAACTTTCTCTGTTATATAGATTTTGCATTAATCAAGTTGAGCTATGAAGCTTTATATAAACCTTTTTTTATTGTGCCTATCATTCAGTGGCCAGTGCAGTCTTTTGGACAGACAGCAAAAAGGTCGAAGGTACAGTAGACTTGTGTGCTGGCATGCTAAGGAAGTCCTTCAAGCTTGTTGAAGCCTTGTTACTTTGTGAAAAGTGCCTGTAGTTTTATCTTTTATTTTTGGCAATGCAGCTTTGTTTTGTTCTGTTGGATTTTTGTCTTGTTTAGTTGTCTGCTTTTGTGGCTTGCCTTTATATTTTTGGTGGCTTTTTATTGTTCTGGAGAGAAACACTTTTTTCCAGAGAGTTTATTTACTTTTCATTAGCTGTGCTCTATTGTGCTGACAGTGCCTTCAAAAGCTGCAATTGTTTGGGTTTTTTTCTTCATACAGAAAATTCCTTATACTATTTAAAATATTAAAATTCAGTTTTCAGCCTGTTTGTTTTACATATAGTAGTAGCTTAAGGTATTTATTTTAAAGCCAGAGTTTTTAATTATACGTACTTTCCTTTAGTCAAACACAAAGTTAAAGTTAGTTCGGAGCCTTGCTGTATGTGAAGAATATCCACCACCTCCCACAGCTGAAATATCACAGGACCTCCAGGTAAAAATGATGTTACTGAAGTTTCTGAAATGATTTGAAGTAACCGATTGTTGAAAAACTCTTTTTGGGTACTCTTTAACCATGTAGGCACCACTGTTGTTGTTTTTTAATACAACTTTCACAGAGTTAGTAATATTGGGCAAAGAATCTACTACTTTGTTTTTCTGAAATACTATTGGGGTGATATCTGGGGGACAGGAAGAGGGATTTTGTTGGTCGTTTTAACTTTCTAATGTCACGGTGAACCTGAGGTGGTTTCAGACTGCCTAAATGCTGTGATGAGCCAGCATTAAGACAGTTAAAGTAAAGAACAAATTTGTGATTTAAATATGTAGCATAACTTACCAGCTCTTTAAGTTTAGAGAACTTACAACTGTAAGTTCTGGTGTCTTGAAGAGCAGAGAGTAATACATGTTGAAGAGGAGAACTGGAGGTAGGAATTTGTTGTTGCAGTTTTTGATGCTGGAGTCCCTAACCCAGGAGTCATAGGTCTTACGTGACCTCCTAGAACAACTCATACAGGCGGCTTCCTCATCCAGTTTGCTTCCTTTCCCAAGGATTTCTTGGGAATGGCATGGACAAGTTCTTTTGTAAGCAGCAATCTGCTCATGGCTGCACTTCGAAAGAATGTCAAGCATGATATGTTTGCATTAATTATCCTTTTCATGCGTGGGAAGTCCAGTGGCTAGGTGAAGTGAGAGGCTGTCTTGTATGGTCCTCCCTGGCATTAAAATAAACTTTCCCTTACTGAAAAAGTTGATATGACTGCTCTGTAATATCAATGAGAGCGTCCCTGAAAAATGATTTCTAGTTTTGTGTCCACACTAAAAGTGGGTTTTAAGAGTTAAGAAGAATAAAATTCAGGATGAAGTTGCTGGTAACATTTGAATTCTGAAGAACCCTACTTTTTAATGATTAGAAAACATTAGCTTTGATAGGATCAAAGATATCCTTACTCACTACGAACTGGTACTTGTTTTGGAATACCTCTTTAGTCTTGTCTACAACTGTTTATCAGTCACCCCTTCCACACTAGTACAGCAGGTCTTAGCAGTGAAACTCCCAAGCATACAGAGGTGCAGATGTCAGTGCATCACTGCTGGCTATTTCTCCTCGTTTCTAGGAGAAGGCTATAATGAAAAAGGTGTTAGCCAGACGAGTTCTCGGGCAAATCAGTTTATTTTCTGAAATATTCTTCTGTATTTTCTTGAGCAATTATTTGCAAAATGGGAACAAATACACTCAATTACTGAGGAATCCGGGTAAGATCTTGCAGATTTTAAGTTTTAATGGTTACAAGCACTGGCAATCTGTTAGATAAAAGTGTTATAGAAGTATGAGCTTATTGATTTATTGCATGAGGAAGACTGTAACTGATTAATTTGATCTGTTATCGTTGTAAACATGCTAAGTATTTTTTTTGGCATTATTTGTCTAAATATTAGGTGCTGAGATGCTCTCGTTTCTCTTTTCTCTCCTTTTTTTTTTTTTTTAAGGAAAGACTGGTTTCACATGAATGACATCATTATTATGGATCGCAAGAACATAAATCTTGGAAATATTTAATTTTTTTCTTAAGCAAAATAAAACAGCCCAAAGGAAAAACAAAGACCAGTGTCCATAACGCTGTTAGTTTACACGGACTTGTGTGAATTCCCATTTGTAGATAGTTTTAGAGATCACTGGTAAAAGCCAAGACCAGGATGTAGGTCCTTTGAGTAAAATTTTGTAATGCTTCCTCACACTCGCACTCTGTCTCCTCAAGTGTTTTAAGCTGCAGAGATTTTTCAGGGTTTGATGGTTTTTGTTTGGGGGGTTGTGTATCGGGTTTTGTTGTTGCTGTTCATTTGTTTTTAGTATCAGGATTTGGTGACAATTCCTACTGCTACGATCTGTTGACTAAAATAACTGGCCATTTTACAAGAGTAATCTTTAGAGATATATCCATGTCCAAAGCTAAGTAAGAGACCAATAGTAGGAAGCAAAAAGTGATGATGAGTATTACGATGCTCTGTAGGCTAGGAAACCAAGATTTCTTAGCAGTGAAGACAATGTTTTTAAGGCCTGTATTAAAAGGCAAAGGAGTGAGGATTTTGGGTAGGAAGGTGGTTGTGAAGATTCTGTTAAATCAGTATGCTAGTAGAGACTAGCTACCGCTAGGGAGGAATTAAAAGAATTGGAGGGAATAGGAACTAAAAAATACAACCTACTTGACTAGAAAGCTACAGAAAAATCTAATTAGATGCTACAGGTTTTATACCATGAAATCATAAGAAAAAGCACTTTGTTATACAATCCCATATCACACTTTGAAACGGAATTGGTGGTAGTAGAGGAACTGATGTTTCAGATGGCTATTTTTTTTTCTATTCTGGGGGAAAAATATAAAAATGATCGTTTGTTGTAATCCTCTGACTTAAGTATTGCTGCGTGCTTTTACTTTGGGTGAGCTTAGAGCAGTTAGTAGATCAATTTTCTAGTGAAGAAAAATAGTCACAGTATGCAAACTGTCTTTGTGATTACTCATGATGTTGTATAGAGTATTACTGTAAAACAGAGAATAGCTTGTCATATTGGTGTATCTGAGTCGGAAATAATTTCTAAAGACATAAGCCATGGTATATTTTTGTTTTTCCAAATAACAAACAATTATGTTGCTACTGGGTGAACAGTTGAAGTGTAATGCAGTTACTAGTCACAAGTAGATTGCTCATTTGAATTATATTCAGATGTAAAGTAAGGTGAGAAATACCAAGTTTTACTTTGGAAACTGAGGTTTTTAACCAAGTGAATTGTCATGCTTAGGAAATTAATATTACAGATGAGGTAATTATTAGTGATTGATAACCGTTTCTGTCAGACTTAGGTATAGATAACCTCATAAAAGACTGCTCAGCTTTTATTGCTAATGCTGGTTTGCAGGGTATATATGTATTAAGTTTAAAATATCTAATTAGAAATTTTAATAAGCAGTAATAAAAATGAGAGTTGGTAAAACTAGCACCCAATTTGTGCATTCATTTTAAAATAATCTGAAAATGATTATCTGTCCAAAAATAAATTTTGAAACTGGTTTTTGCTGTAGCCTCATAAGTATAGGATTTCCATTGCCCAGTTCAGACTGGACCAAGGTGGAGAGCAATGTGGTGTGCTAGGGCAGGGAGGAGCCTGACTACGGTCTGTGCAAGGATATGTTTGCACATGAAACATTCCTTGGCCTTTGTGAATCCTGATCACATTTAAATCTGGATGACTTTTATGAGTAAGACCAATTCTGTGGTGTGAGAGCTTAGGAATAGTTTATAGCGGGCAGTTGGATATGTGAACGAGAGGGCTTTAGAACAGCAGAAACACGGAAGAATGGGCTTGAGAGATGAACAAGGACTTGGAACGGGAAAGGATTTGATGCAGGATAGAAGAGGGGTTGGAGGGGAAAATGGAAGGTTGCATGGGTCTCTGGGTTGGATTGGTAAGAGCTGGATGCTCTCGGGTAGCATGGATGGTAGCATAAACTCAGTTGGTGGCTTCTAGGGGAGCAGAATAGACATTTGAGGGGCTTCAAGGTGGAAGGAATGGGACGAGTCCCCTACAGGATTGCCACTTTCCCACTCCTCTTGGCACTTCTCAGATTACTCTCTACCTCATCTGGTTTTGTTATCTGAAACGTGGGTGTCCTTCACTGACTGACATGGAAGAACAAACTAACCGTTTTCCCATAATTAGGGGACCCACTCTATCATTTTAATTAAAAGGGAAACTCTTTTTTGTTGTGCGTGAGAAACAAGTTCCATTAAAGTTTGTCTAGTTTTATAAAAACATGTATTTTGAGATAATTACACATACAGCTACTTTGTTGAAATATGCAATAAGTGAAGAATCTAAGCCTTGATGACAACATGGTTTGCAAATTTTGTCTTTCTATATAGAACTGTAAATTCTGGGGTTTTGTGAAACTTGGATCGCTGGTCTGTCTTAAATAGATTTAAAACTTTTGTTTTAATATTTTTTTCTTGGTATCAACCAAATAAAAACTTAAACAAGTTTTTATAGTAGAGAACAATGAAAAATTGGGAAAAAAATCATCATGGATTATGAGCTTTGTGTAAAAAAAAAAAAAAAAAAAAAAAAAATTGGATGATGTGTGTGATTTATCGGGCTAAATAACTGGAATGCGTTCATATGTGCGTCAGGATATTTTAGATTCATTTTAAAATAGCATTCATGGCCTGGTAGCATGTGCAAGTTCTGAAATGCCACATATGTTAGCTGTCTTTATAGTTTTTGATTCACTGATAAATAGATTCGTTTTGTGTTTGCACAAAGTGCGTGCATGATTACAAAGAATATGAAGACAGTTTTTTTCATTGTTAGTTCTTCATTATGCAGACAGAGTACAAAACAGTTCTCATGCAGGTATATATTGTTTAAAATAATTTCCGTTATGACTAATTTTTACTTTTTGACAGGAGAAAATCCAGATCCAGTTATCACAGTCTTTTGAAAAAGAAGAAAAGCCTGCAAAAGATGAAACAGAAAAGGAAAAGTCAAATGATAAACTGCCCAGAAAAATGTTATCAAGAGGTTTGCTATCTGTTATTCTGCTTTTACGTTCTATTTTTACATTTCTATCTAGAATTCCCTATTAATAACCTTGAGTAGCTTTGGCTGTGGGAAACTCATGTGAATTACTATATAAGTAAAAAATGCATCATTTTTCTCAAGATTGAAAGTTCGTTTCTTCAAAAATCTGTTGACTGTATGTGTACACTTTGTGCACGTTAACTGCAAGAGGTTTTCTGCATAGCAATTATTAACGTCTGTGTGTTGTGTTTGTGAATATATGATAGTCTGAGCTTGTAAACAGAAGATCAGTTGTGGATCTGGGCTTTGCTTATGTTAGTACAATCAAAGCAGTGTATACGTAGATGGAGTTTTATACTGCATGGATGGAGGTGGGAATTTATAGGTACAGATGGACTTTTCGGCTATGAAAAGTCAGGTTCCCTTTCCTCTATTAGTGTTTTTATTTTTTAATTCAGAAATAGAGAAAGTGTATTTTATGCACTTATCACTTGTCAAGATTTGAAAAAGCTCAAATCTTATCTTTATTTTCATTGTATCTGTTTGTAAAACGAATTTTTTGCATCTTGAAACAAATACTGAAATGTCACCTATAGGCTATATCGTAATGCTAATCAGGTGGTAGGTTATGTATTGCATGCATATATAAAGAATATCCAGAGAAAAGGCAATTTGCTTCCAGGAGGTCTTGTATAAACTTTAATCATCTTTTAACAAGTGTAGCAAACAGATGGGACGCTTTTGAGCTGGAGAGGGAATCAGTCCCATAACTAGATTTCAGCAAGCACATCTCAGTTTTTTTAGTCTTGTCCAAGTATCCTTTGGAAAACTGATTTTACTAAAGCCGTTAGAGTTTATTATCTTACTCCCAAGACTTCATTGTTACAGGTTTTGTGAAACACAAGTGAGCATGACAGCTACATTTATACTTTTTTTTCTCCCCCTAATCTTTATTCAGCAGAAATCAATATTCTTATTTCGTTTTTCATTACTTTTGCTAGTGTCTAGGTTGTTTTTGTTTGTTTTTTAAGATTTTTGGAGTAAGGATGACACTAATTTAGTAAAAACAGTGAGTGTTATGTTTTCATTTTAATATTGTTGCAGTATGAATTGAAGATCTGTTCTGTCTGCTGAAAATCTTTGCTTTTTTGCCTAGAGCAAAACTCTCTCCCTGACTCTCTCAAAGTCATTGGTGTTTGATTGGGTCCCTAAAATTGCCAGGCATTCATGAAATGTAGCACCCTAGTGTTCAAATACCTTAGTTGACTACCCTGAATACCCTGTAGTGCTTTGATTAACGTTTTCCTCATAGGTTGCAAACACCTATCCATAAGAAATGTGAAATGCAGCGTGATTGGTAGTGTTAGTTGGATTGGCTTTTCAACCTGGAAACAAAGCTAATTCTGAAATTTTAAAGTACCCACTCACCTTTTTAAATTAAAAAGCAACAATAACTTTAGGCAATGGTGAGGAACTGAAAACAGGCTGGAAAAAAGCCTGAAGTAGGTAGCTGTTTTAAATTCACATAATATCTCCTGTGCAGGATGATTGCTTTCCAATTTGAAATGTGCTGAAATAGAAAATGATGAAACTTAAGCGTCAATCTAATAACTATCACTAAATTATTATGCACTTCAATTTTTTTTAATTTGCCAATTTTAAGTATATAATTATTCAACCTTAGAGTTGTCTTTACTAGAAATGCACATTTTCCCTCCTCAGAACCAAAGGTAATCCAGACCCTTGAATGCTCAGACCTGCTTGGTTTCATTTCTACTTGGCTGATGATTACTAAGGCAGGATTGATGGCATGACTAGCTCTGCCAATACAGGAACTCACTGTTGTCCTTCAGGGAACTAGGGATTCCCGTCTTTGGGTCAACTGGGAGTCTCTCCCAGAAAAACACAGGTCTCATGTATGGAGATTGAACACTTTGGTCATCCAGCTTCCTGCTATGCCAAGACACAGCTCTCCTGGCACTGCTGCTTCTGCTTCTAATTAAAAAGCCTACATGGATTAGATGTCCACCAACTCCTACCCTTCTTTGAAAAGTATAGTCCTCCCATAGCTAATAAGAACTTATTTGGAATAAAGGCACCCCAGACTGACCACCAAAAGGGCTGGAGAGGCTAGGATCTAGGCATGAGTTTGAGCCGTGCCGAACTTGAGAAGAGGTTGGCGCTTAAGTAGTTCTTGGAAGAAGTTTTAATTCCAAAAAATTATTCAAACCTATCTGAGTTTTAGTGCTAAGATCTGGAACTGTCAAAGATGTTCATGTAAGGGAAGAACTAGTGTTAGGACACCGTTTTAAAACATTGTTTCTTTTTGTGACAGATTGTAAACTATAAAAGATAACTTTGAAAATTTATAAAAATTATCTTGAAGTATTTAGAGAGAAGTCCCATAGCTTTTTGCCTTGTTTCTGGTTTCACTGAAACCAAGCCCAGTGTAACAAGGGTTTATAACAGTACGAAATAGGAATTGTGAAGGTTTAAACTATTGCTTTCTAAATTACCGGATATTGCCCGAAGGAATGTTGTAACTGTAGATCAGTTGCTGGTTCCACAGAAGTACATGCAACAGTGCGGTGTAGGATACTGGAGAAAACTTGTAGGATTGATGGAAATCAGGTGTCTCAATGTGATGTACTGCTTGAAAATATGTAGCTATTTGTTAATAGATTGGCAATGTTATTGAAGTCTTTGTTCTGTGTTACGTGTTGAGCTGGGAGATTCGAGGGAGCAATTGTGGCATTGGGTTTTTGTTTGGATTTTTCCTTGAGCCTTTTCTCTGGAAACTGAAAGTATTTACTATTGGGAACCACATGCCTAATATTTGGGCAGTGTTGATTCATAAATATGATTTTCAGCAATAAGTGTGTGTGTGTGTTGGGGGGGGAGTATTAATATTTTTTTCAAAATTTAATTGTGCTCTTCCGCCCACACACTTAGATTCCAGCCAAGAATACACAGATTCCACGGGCATAGATCTTCATGAATTTTTAGTAAATACATTAAAAAACAATCCCAGGTAAGCATGAAAGAATTTAATTTCCTATTTTTCTTCCTTGTTAGCGGAGTTCCTTTTGGGGTGGCCAGGGAGGCTCCGAGTGCCTTTCGGGGTGGCCGGGGACCGCCATTAAACGTGTAGCACTACATGTCAGTTATTTAGGATGACTTTTTGTTGAGCAGGCTCTCTGAAACACCAATCTATTGGTATGTGTGTGTTACAGGAGCAGAGATTCAGTACATTGAAATGGTTTGAATGCTTTTCATGTTTAATAAGCAAACAGTAAGTTCTGTCTGTGTGCAGTAGCCTGAATCAGGGGATGCTAATAATATTGCCTCTCTAAAACTTGCTCTTTTTTAGGATCTGCTTATTAGAGATCAAACTGTCTTTTATTTTAATCTGCCTTGCACTAAATTTACAGACACGGGAGCTTCTTTTAAGCTGTACCATATAACTGTACTTGGAGATATACCTCTTTACTCTGCACAGCAGGAACCAAATTTGACCTAATTCAAGTCTATTATTTTTTTAGCAACATAGCTGATGTGGTTCTGTTGCTTTGGGATTTGCAGTACGCTGCTGTCTATCTTGTTTACCCTTTGCCTCAGTAGGAATTAATACTAGGACTGTGGATATACATACAAGGCAAGAACTCTGTGGAACTGTGCTGCTGTTGCAAAGGCTATTCCACTGCTATTTATTATTCATTCATATTATAGTTATGATTTCCAGTGTGATAACGTATTGGGATTCCACTTCGTTGGCAAAAAAAAACATAGAAGAGGCTGTCATAAGGGGCCCACAGTATTTTGTCCTACAGAGAGAACCTACAAAAGCACAGATCACTATTAGACTCTTACTTTGGTCCTGTTTGAAGTCATAAAGCATTCCAGTGAAAATAAGAAATTGCAGATGAAAGTCTACTGTGGTTTTACATGCCCAGTAACAGGGAAGCTTAGTTATCAGACGTGTATGAATTATGAAGTGTGGGATATTGAATTTCATTACATGTTAACAGTCTACTGAAACTGGCATAAGCATTTTTAGGATTTTTATCATATGGTGTTTCAGCTTATATTTGTTTCAATTACCTTCAATTTTAGCTTTTTCCTATTGTTTTAACGTCTTGTCACATTGCAACACGTGCCAACTTCAACCTCTTCCTGGTTGTAGACATGTGCATCCCTTTCCGTTATCTGTAGTCTAGTCACTCTTGATCTCGATAAGTCCCATGATCCAATTCACAGTTGAAGGGCCAGTTGAGGCACCTTAGTCACTGGTTTCGTTTCTTCTTGATGCCATCTTCTCAATGACTTGTACTTGCTGCTGAGCTTGTTCGGCAGAGATGGTGTGGAGGATCTTTGTACTCTGATTTCTGAGGTGACAACAGTTATTTCACTAGGCACGTTCAATAAAGTATAGCTCAGTGAAAAATGAATACTTTTTCTCCCTAGAAAATGAACAAACAAAAAATTGAATTTTATACTTGGTGGTTCTGTTTAGTCTGCCATCATCCGTTGATCACAGATGTTATCTGTGTATTCTTAAGATGAATACAGCCGCAGTTATTGGAGTGTCTCATATGTGAGTTGCTGTGTTTTTATTTTCAGGGACAGAATGATGCTGCTGAAATTAGAACAGGAAATTTTAGATTTCATTGGTAATAATGAGTAAGTACTGTACTCCTATAGGAAAAAAGATTTGAGAGTGTTCCTGTTGTTTAATAAAGCTACTATTCCTTTCTTCCAGAGTTCCAAGAAAAAAGTTTCCCCCAATGACATCTTACCATAGAATGCTGTTGCACAGGGTAGCTGCTTACTTTGGATTAGAGCACAACGTGGACCAGAGTGGGAAGTCAGTCATAGTAAACAAAACTAGCAATACAAGAATGTAAGTGTAAAAAAATCTTGAAAAGAATTCTTTTTGGTGCGCCGAGTTAACATCTGGGATATATTAAGCATTGATGCTGCATCTGTAGCAGTAGGAATATATTTGCTCATTGGGAACCAGGCAGCAAGGAGAGGTGACTGCAAGATCTTCACTGCTTAAGTTCCAGCGCCGTGTAATGATGTGATCTGTCCACGTTTAAAGTATTGGGGGAGGGGGGGAGTTATCTGTAAACTGAGGTTTTGTTATTGTTGCTTTTCTTGCAGAGATGCATTACAAACTGTGTTCTCATAAGTAAATTATAAAAATTCATATTTTATCTTTTTCAAGATTTATACCAGCTTTAAGTGCATTCTTCAATTCCTTTGGAAAACAGTACCAAAGTATTGTCAGCCCCTAACCTAGAACAGGGCAGTTTATGATAGGGTGAGGGGAAGGGATGAAACTCATAGAACATTGGCTTTTGCACTGTAAGAATATATTGGGAAAATTTAGGCACTGAAATCTGTTGATAGAATAATGTTGCTTATATATCTCACCGCTTCCTTATACAAAATAAATGTAGCAGGAACGACAGATATCTCACCAGCGGAAGTATCCACCAGGTTAACAAGTGCTACTTTACTGTGAGGGCTGGAGTGCTACTTTACTGCATGCTACTTTACTGTGAGGGCTGGAGAGTCCTTGGTGAAACCACTAGGAAAATCCCTGTTACAAAAAGTACCGTTGGATTCATGGCATCTCCAAAATGTGCACACACAGCTGACATGTTTCATTTACAGGATCTACCTGCTCTCTCTGTCCTCTGCTGAGTGTCCTCTTGCACTCTCCTCCTCTGTTTCTCTTTCAGAAAGATGAAGGACTAATGTGTTGGCATATTTAAGTGTTTAGCACCTAGTTTCTAGTTTTAACTAAAAACACTTGCATGACACCATTCTTTAAGTACTCTATAGTTTGAGCATGGAAATAGTTCACAGCTCCTGCATCCTAATCACTGTCCCTATATAGACTCCCCTTAAATTTGGGGAACAAAATCTTATCTGCCCTAATTTTGGAGTCAATAGAACTGCAATGTCACACTGAGAATTCTCTTAAATACTTTCCTCTTCCAAAAAAAATATATTTCAGAAAATATGTGGAGTTTGAATGTATATTAAATACTACATGTGTTTCTTTTTACTTTGACTGTAAATTCCCTGAATTTACTTATAAAGGCATACATCTCAAACCTGTTGCCTCTATCTATAGCATCCCTAGATTGAAGATTTCAGTCAGTCACTACAGATGGGGAATAAGAATTATTAAAGCATGACTTCTTAACTTCTATAATATTTTTTTTTTAAAACATATGCATATAGTTAAAATCTTATGGCCTCTGGAAGCCCCCTATAGTTGTAGTTGCTAATTAGCAGGCATTTCATCTAACCTGTAGACATTAGAATTCTTAATGTTTTCAGTATTCTTATTTTAAATCACTTTGGATATAAAATAAGAATTTGGAAAGAAAACCTTGGAGATCTGCTCCATGTTGAATAAAACCAAACTTACCTTTTCCTCATAGGCAGATTCCCGGCTCCAGCGCCAATCAGTGATGTTACTGACATCAACAACCCAGTGCATACTGGGACGCCTCAATGGAGTGGGAAGTTGGTGATTGCAGGGCAGTAAATTCAGGGACCTTTAAAAGAAAGAGGTAAGAGAGTCTAAAGGTTCTCTGAAATGCCTGCTAATTATGTTTGGGCATCCAGTAACTAATAGGTTTGGCTCTTCAACAGAAGATGATCTCCTGATTTTATATAAATGCCCTGAGTACTAAATGAACAGAAGAAGTCTACATATGTTATGGTTTTTTTAGTAGGCAAATTCTTCCTGGTTTTCTGAAAACATTTCCTACTACACTAGTAATTTTATTGTCTAGGTAGCTGATATCTAGTTTTGATAACAATATTTTGCAAAATATCTCATTACTCTTTCACAAAGTAGATAAAATACCAAGACTGTGTATAATCTGTTGCCTTCATCCTTTCTCTGTGGTGATCTGAAGTTCTTGCTTGCCAGCATCACTGTGTCGTCATTCTTCTCTTGCTTATTTCTATTTTAATTTTGTTTTAAAAGTTTGTAAGTTTGAACACTTTCTCCTACATACATGTGTCTCCTTATCTTCTGTTCTCCTTTGAAATGAATTCTGAGTTATTGCAGCTCTAGCAGAAGGCACCTCTCTTCACTGCCATGCATGGCCAATGTCTCTTGCATGGCACAAGTCTGGATTCAAGAGCACTTCTGGTTCCCCAAAGGCATGTGATTGCTTGCCACCTTACTTGAAAATTGAGGCACAAATCTTGAAGGAAGAGATTTTTAAAAGCAGGTTTGTTATGCTTCAGGAATAGGAATGGTCAGCTGCACAGAACATGTTAATGTTTTTGGTACCTTTTCTATTGCCTGGGCAACAGACTATTGCCAAAATCTGTCATGTCAGTTAGAATACTGAATATACACAACGCTAATCAAACATGCATCATTTGGTTCCACTGTGTGTAGTATACATTCGTAAATCCATAAGTCTTTTCTTTCTAATGACTTTTTGTAGACCTGACCAAAAGTTTTGTGAGCATATAAAGGATGAGAAGAGTGATGATTTTCAGAAACGGTACATCCTTAAAAGAGATAACTCTAGTTTAGACAAAGATGACAACCAGGTAAATACATGTGGATTATATTCCCCTTCAGCTGGATATGTTTGAGTGTATACTTATATTATTTTCCTCTAGAAGTTGACACTGTGTCACTTAATTTAGATGAGAATACGATTAAAAGATGACAGAAGAAGTAAATCCATAGAAGAACGTGAAGAAGAATATCAGAGAGCTAGAGAGAGAATATTTGCACAAGATGTATGTATCACACAAAATCTTATTGTGTTTTGTCTGATTGCTTCAAACATACATTCATGTATGATTTTTCTTTCCATTTAGTTTTCTGTGTATGAAGGGAGCTAAGCAAATAAAAATCATTGGTGTGGCTTAATGATTTTGAAATAATACTGAAATTACTAGCATTTTTTTTTCCAATCATTACTACATCAAACTCAGACAATCTTAAAGTAGTATTTTGATGCGTTCTCTAGCATTACCTATTTCAATGTATTTTTTGCCCCTTACTGAAATTTTAGTTAGGGAATTTTAGCACTGCAATCCTTTCAAGAGTTACTCAGAGCGATAACTAAAAATGACATTGTGGTTTCTGTCTCCGTCAAATGCATTTAATGACTAGTCACAATAAAGTGATTTGAATTCCCATACTTGAAAATTCAGTCAGAAATCTGGAATTAAGTCTCTCTTGACTTGTGTCATCAAGCAAGATGAAAATTCTGCAACTGTAACTTAGTTAATGGGTCTGTGATGTTGCTGATAATTTGTGAGCCATAAAAATATCTTAATCCTGTCCCAGGGAATCACTTAATGCCACAGTGTAAACTGTAGTTCAATCTTACATTTTTTGTAATTTAGTAATATTGACTAAAGCAGAACAGGTATGTTTTCAAAAACGTGTATTACTCTACTTTTTCTGACAGTATTTGTAGCTTGTACACACCTAAACCAGGTCCTTGTTCTGAGGAAGGGATAATGAACTCTGAGAATTAAGTTGCTACATCCAAACATTTTCCAAAGCCATTATATTTGTTTGCTTCAGCTACCCAAAAAAAAAAAAAAAAAAAGGATGGACTTTTACATATAAAATTACCTTCTCCTTTTTCATACTCATTTATCTTGGTATTGTATCCCTAGAAAGATTTGTACCAAATGTCAGAAGTTGTAGTTAAAAAGATAGAGTTAAAAATAGCCTTTTTGATTATACATTCTCTCAGCCTTTTAGTATTTGTGTGCTTGTTCACAAAGAATTCAGAATACAGTTATTGCAGTAGCTAGTGTTATCTTCCACTTCATAGTTTCAAGAGGAATACAAGGCAATAGACTTGTCCAGTCACACATCAGTGGGAAGCTACATAAGGCAGGGAAGGCCCAGTGCAAGGAAACAGAACTTCAGAAAATTATTGTTATAAATAAAATGGGATCAGCATTGTAATATTCTAATGCTAAATTTTATTTCCTGTAGATGGACTTTTTTTTAATGTGGAAATTCTTCACTGAAGAGGCAAACTTTTCAGGCAGTTTAATAAACAGAGGATGCTTAGAAAGTCCGTATATAATGTATAAGACTAAGTTGCATTTTGTTTTGTTACTACACTATAGTAAGGCTTTTAAATGCCATTAATAATTTCATTTATTTTTTTTGCTCCTCAGTCCCTTTGTTCCCAAGATAATTATCTTATTGATAAAAGGTAAGAAAACTTGCAGTTTCATTTTAATTTCCTTTCTTTATTTTATTAATAAATATTAAGCTATCTTATTAAAATGTCAACAGAATCCAGGAGGAAGAAACTAATAGTACACAACAAAGGCGGCAGATATTTAGGTATTTGATGCATTCTTTTTAAAAAAAAAAAAAGGTATTCTGCATGCATTTGACCTTTTCTTTTCTTTTCCCCTTATTTTTCAATTGATGCTTGTGCTAAAATATAACTTACAGAATCAATAAGGAAGCATCAGGGAGATCAGCCAACAGCCATCAGAGCAGTACTGAGAATGAGCTGAAGTATTGTGAACCCCGTCCCTGGAGCAGCACCGACTCTGATAGCTCCATCCGCAATCTGAAGCCAGCTGTAACAAAAGCCAGCAGCTTCAGTGGGATATCAGTTCTGACAAGAGGCGATAGCTCTGGAAGCAGCAAAAGCACAGGCAGGCTGTCTAAGACAGGTATGATAAAATCTGTACTAATACATAGATAGCAGTGAAGTACAAGATGGGTTTGGTACTTAATGCATGTTGCAGGTGTGTACATAATCAGAGGCTTCAGTCTTGTAGATGCTCCATGCGTACACTCCCACTGAATGTGGTGGGTGCTGCATGCGTAGAAAGACTACGGGCTTAGGTGTACGGTATGTTACTGCCTTGGAGAACTTGAATTCAGATTGCAAATTAAATCAAGACTTTTGACTTCATAAATAGAATTGAAAACTGAATTACAGATGACTTAAGTTAAATGCGTTTCATCTCATGCAAGGCATTTGAAAACACTTGTCAACATAAGTACTTTACACGAAACAAAAATATATTTAAGAGTTCAAATTGCACTGAGTTCAACTCTGTAGTTTCAGTATGGTAAAGTTGCATTGTGCTGTCTAAGGAAACTGTGCTACTGCCGTGCTAGCTAGGAAAAATCAGCCATAAATTCTGTGAACGGTTAGTTATATTTGTTATGATATCTCTCAGTGCCATTGTGAGAACTTCAATGAATGTGGCTAAAAAGTTTTTATTTAATTTTTAGATTGCTGAAAATTCGGATCAGTGAAGCAAAGTGTACTGTTTTATTGTAAGATTCAGAAAAGTTGAAAAATGCTCATTTTATAAGATTCTGGGCTTCAAAGGTGTGCTAACTTATAACTGATGTCAAAACAAAATCTTAGAAAATTGGATGTAAATCCTCAGTGGGTCAAACTGAAAGAAATTTAGTAAATAACTATTCCAAATGCTAAAGTGATTTGATACAATAGATCTTGGTTGTGGTGAGTTTTGAGGCTTGAAATAGATGGGTGGATTATGGTGGTGCTACTTGAGAATATGAAGTGTATCTGTTTTGTTTTTTTAAAAAAAAAAACAAAACAAAACAATTGCTTGCCTGTATTGTGCTTGGCTTTGCTCTTACTTATAACACTTGTTTCTAATGAGAATCTTTTTAAATTTTTTGCTTCCCCTTTAAACCACCACTACCTCATAATTACATCATCACACTTTTCTGCCTTAATACAGTAAAATAGCTCTCTAGCTATATAGCAATAGCAATTCTGTGTCTCTTGTATACTTATATGAATTTTATTACAAAAAAAGTTCTCTAATACTTCTGCATATGCTTTGAATTTATGTCCTCATATTGAGTTATTTCATTTAGCAAAGTAAAAATATTATTTGTCATAACCTGAAAAGCAATTACAACCTGACAACAGTATACATAAAGTATATTCTTAAAGGGTTTTGTATTCTAAATTGTGAGAACATAAACTGATTCTTAATTTCACTGGAAACTTTATTTCGGCCTTCTGAGAGTTAGCATCTGAAGTTCAGAATGCCTGTTTTGGTGGTTAAACTGCTTCACTGCAGTTACAGGTTACAGTGATTTTGCATGTGTTTGGGTTGTTTTCGTTTGTTCATTTTAGTCAAAGATGTAATTGGCTTAAATTATGACAGTTTCAGCCTAACTTCTCTACATAATCTAGAAGTGGATACGTTTGTAAAAAAAAAAAAAAAAAAAAAAAAAAAAAAAATTGTAATTGAAGTAGCTCTGGTCAAGTGAGGATTGTGTTATAGAGCTGGGTTACGCTTTTCTGCCCCGTTTATAATTCATAGCTTTGTATTTCAGTCCATCTTTCAATAGAAAAAAAGATCAATAATCAGCACCTTTAAGGGCTTTGAGCTGTATTAACTTTTCAGCCACACAAGTAAAAGGGTCACAATTGTAAATTTCTGCGAAGGACTGCAAAGTGATTTCAAACAGTAGATAAATTTCATTATAGCACTTGCTTTCTCTTCTAGATTGTATAGAGGCTGTTGATGAAGAAATCTTACATTTGAACAATTATTTTCTGTCCCCAATCCTGCAAAGACCTAATAAAAAGGCGTGATAAATTGTACACAGAGAGATCTCTAGGAACAGTGCAGTTCTATAGACCTCTCCATGTTGGACTTTGGAAAATTGCATTGACTTGCATGCATTGGCTTTCAGAAAGCTCAGGGTCTGATTCTCCACTGCCTTGCAATGTTTGTAGTCATTCATATCTGTAAAATCAATACTATTTTCATTTAGCTGTTTCATAGTCCTTTCGACTTTGAATTGTTGCATAAGACTACTTAGCCTAAAGCTACCATACTGCTGGATTTTTTTCCAGATGTATTCTTGATTTCAATCTGAAAATTGTCGGGGCAGAAAAAGTGTAGTTGGGGCAAGGGAGGGTTGGTTTTGTGCAAGTTATCTAGGTCTACAGAGCATGTAAACTTAGCTAGTGTGTCTGAAGAGCCACTGAACCCACACATCTGCATTACCCAATGGTCTGCACATATGGAATAGTTCTAGTCTGTGTGTGTATAGTGAATCCAGCATATTCAGACCACTGGGTACATTGATATGTATGCATGGGTCATGTTGGAATATGTCAACAGTCATCTGAGTTATGGATGAACTGGACTGTAGGACGTTGTGTGTGTACTGGTATATATTTTCTGTCCAAAAACTCAGATATAGATATGAAAGCCTCACTTCACAGTGCAAAGCAGTACTGAATTGACCCTTGGTTTGACAGAAGGAAGTTTGTAATGGTATTTCAGGGGAGGTGAAGGGGAAGTTCATTGAAAAGGCTGTTGTTTAATAATGTTCTTATATGCTGAACTTTAACGGTAAGCATTTACAGATATATATTTTAAGTGAGCATGCTGTTTCTATCACTAGGTAAAAACAATTTCTCGTTACTCCTTTCCTAGGTTCAGAGTCTTCTAGTAGTGTAGGGTCATCCACGGGTTCTCTTTCTCACACCCAGCAGCCTCTTCCGGTGCCAGCTCTAAGCCAGCCTTCTCATGGCACGCCTGCCGTCTATCCAACTGTCAGCACTAGTAACTCTCTTTCCTTTGATGGTGGCATAAGTGGGCAAGTGGCACCTACTAGCACTAGCTTCTTTTTGCTTCCCTTGGAAGCGGCAGGCATACCGCCTGGCAGTATTCTGATCAACCCTCAAACAGGTTGGTATCTGCTTGTGGATGTTTTTATTACAGATGAGAACTTAGAGAAAAATGTGTGAATCGTTTACATGAGATTGAATTTCAGTATTGCCTTTTCCTCCTAAGTTTTTGCGGTGTTTATGTTTGTTCAATGCACTTAATTCAAAAAGAAAGCATGACTAGCATAAACAGGGATAAGTAGACTCGCTTGTTTTTCTCTAGTGGCGTTTTAATGTCTGTGTGATATTTCAGTAGGTGACTTGCGCAAAATAGAATACTATGATTATTATCAAGAAAGCAGAACAAGCATCTGTGATTTGGGGTTTTCGGTGGGGGGGTTAAGCCTTTCACAGTACTAATATTAGAATTTCAGTGAGATGAGAAAGACTATGAACAAATGCTAATATTGATTTGAAATAATTTATCATCTTTCATTTTGCTTGTGTCTCAACTTACGTTTTTATTGTACACTTGTGACACTGCTGTGTTAATGCAAGAGAAGGAGATGCAAGATTACATGCTGTTTCTGAACTTTTGTTTGTCAGCCTCTAAGAGGATTATATGTTAGCATATTTAGCCAATACTCCAATTTTAGTAAGTAGCAGGAAAAAGATTACTTCATAATAAGGTGGATGTGAAGATGTGTAGCTAATCCTCTGGACTAAAAGACAAGTTAGTGTTCTCTGAGCAAACGTTTACTCTATTGTAGAAGTTCAGAAATCTTGAAAGTTTAAATTTAACCTGTTATACGCAACACATTTTAATCTTTGGGAAAAGATTTTTGCTTTAATTTCAGTATAAAGGATTGTAGAATAGGAAGTATTTTAGAATCTATTTCCCATTGTTCTATAGATGGACTTTATTATATTTGACTATATGGCATCTGATTTTTTTCCTACTAAATGTTTCTCATCGGTGTTGTTAAAAGGGTCTTTTACTGAATTATTTCATTTTGGCAACTATATAGTTTTATACTGAAACAGATAATCTTCTCTTTCATTAACATAAGTCAATAGCTGCTGGTTTACACTGAATTAGAGAATGTTTTAGGTTAGTTATGCAGCCTGATGTTTCTCTTAAATGCCTTAAAAGCAAATAGTTAAAGCTGGCCCTGCTAAAAGTTGGTTAACAGCTGATTAGCTGTAGCATCTAATTTTCATAGATAGTCATTATATTCTGAAGCGACCATACGCTAATTCTAGAATTAGGTTCTGGAGATAGCTCTGTAGGCTTAGCTTTCTTAGTCATAAAGTGGTAGTTGTGCATGTTATACATGAATTTTCTGCTGTGTGCATGTGAAACATCTCATGACAAATGTAGTAATTGATTAGTGAAGACCTTTTGTTAGATGAATCAGAATTTCTAGGGTCTGCCTACACTAGAGTCCTTTGAATACCTCCCATATGAAGAATATTGGCTATCGTTTTTCATATTATTGGCGTTTATAGCATGTTCATGCTAAAGTCTTTAGAGTTATTGCACAACAAAACAGATACTGCGGACAGCAGAAGGGATACCATCAGCTTGACAGTGGCTTCATTTAAAACATAGTACAGTTTTTCGTTTAAATAAGGGTTTTTATGTCATCTTTCACTCAGCTATGTGCTTGTCAATGTTCTGTGTGTGATTAGTTTCCCTTTCTCCCTCATGTACTGTTGGTCATTTTCCCTGGTGCATTGATAGGACTTCCACATAGCCACAGGGAAGGGCAGAGAAACAAATGTGATCATGAGACAGCTTTTTGTTGTTAGTCTTTAAGAACTTGCACCCACACGCACCCCTCCCTCCGCCTCAGAAAAGGTAGCAGAATTTAGATTTGGCACCGTTTAGCTTATTCGTTAAAATTAGCTTGATTTCAAACTGAAGTGTTTTTAGTCATTATGTACTTAAACTAGTCATTAATACTCTTTCATAATAGAAGATTATCTTATACCTAATTAGTGTCTAATAGAAGATAAAGTGCCCTTCCAGAGCAGAGACTATCTAGGTTCAGATAAACTTCTGAATTATAACTAATATACTTGAGTGATTATATTCTGTAATTGTTCTTCTATCTTTATTGTTCCAAGTGCCAGTCAGAGTTCAAAAAGCATAAGTAGTTTTTCAGCGTTTCTGACAGAGAATCTAATGATCTTAGGTCAACAGAGTCAGTCGTCTCAGTAGCTGAAGACAGTAATTGAGAAAAGATGGTTCTTAACTCAGTCACTGTGGGAAACAAGTTAGGCTTCAGTGAACACCAGAACGTGATGAGAAGAAAGAAGAAAATCTGCGATTTCCTGTTTATGTGAATACTCCCTATTCCTGAGAAATCACTTAAGTTAAACTGAACATAGCTTGACCACCTGCAGTTCAGTTGCATAATGTGTAGGTAATGATTTTAAAGTGTGCTCATGCTTCGTGTCTATCTGTTGCATCAGTTGCCTCAGTGTCCCCGCTGGCTGGCCAATTGCGTTTAAATAAGGTAGAAAAAGTCTGTAGGAGCATTGCAGTCCACTGTAAAAGGGCCCTGCCTGGGATGCCAAGACTTCAGTCTCAGCTTAGGCCTTTCTAGAAGGAATTATACACAAGAAAATCTTTATATTGGAGAAGGGAAGAATTTAATTTATATCAGCGCTGGGACCTTCCTAAACATCACCATCAATCAACACAAGACACCTGCCCAAGCAGCTAGCCTTAATTAAATACAGGTCTTCACAGTCTTAATTTCTTGTTCCTTTGGTTCTTTTCTTTTGCATTTTTCTCAATTGAAATGAATCACTATTCTTTTATAATCCACGTTAAGCAGTTTTACTTTTTTCTAGTTCTTTTGCATTAGTCCAATACTAATGTAATATTGAAGTTGCAAATTAATGAATAGGAGGAATAATACTGCATTATTTGACTTGAAAGCTAAAAGCCAGGTCATTTATGGGTAGGGGAAGAGAGTCCTTTAACAGTAATCTTATTAGCAGTTATGGGAGTATAGTTGTAACTACTGTTTTGTATAGATTAAAAGAAAAATTATTTGCCTTGAAGCTGTCCAGCTGTCAATGATTGATGTTTAGACTGATTGAAGGAGATTCATTTAATTGTTCCCTAAAATAATATTTTTAGTAGCATTTTCCTTTATAACTCTTGCCTTTTTCAGTCCACTTAATTTAAAACAAGCTTTCAAGATTGGCAAAATAGATATTTGCCCTCTGTTTAAATTCACTCAGTAAAGATTTTTCTTCCTCTGTTTACCTGACTGCTCATGTTTTTTAACTGCATGCAGTTAAATGAGACCGATTTGGTCACTGCGATTCTAAAGGTAATTGTGGGGGTTTGGCATGTGAAACAGTAGTTATGATTTCATTTATGTTCAAATTTTGTGACTTTATTTTGCCTGCTGTAAATACATTTGCCTTTATTGTCTCCAAACTTAAATAATGCAGCTGTCTGTCTTTTGATTGTGTTTGTTCTCTAACTTTTCAGGTCAGCCGTTCCTTAACCCAGATGGCACTCCAGTTGTGTATAATCCTCCAATGCCTCAACAACCTGTTAGGACCCAAGTGCCTGGACCTCTGCAGCAGCCACCTCTTCCCCTCCCACCTCAGCAGCAGCCAGCAGCTAATCACATCCTGTCACAGGTGCACATGTCCAATACATGGTGGTTGTACTGACGATCAGTATTTTCATATCCCTGTCTGCTAATAAGGCCTCAGTAGGTTTGTTCTGTTGAAGCGTGTGTTAAAAGAAGCAATAGCTACCCAGATATGGGTAACTGGATCCTCCCCGCCCCACTATTGTCAGAACTAGTCAGTCCTCATAACTGCACAGGGTAGGCAGGCTTTCCTTAAGAATGTAGAAAATAAAGGATGTTCTCAAGATGTTTTAGTGTCAGGAATGTAGCAAGCATCACAATATTACTGTCACTTCTTTGCAGGATGAAAGTAAAAAACCAGGACGGGCACGTTTAACTGATGGACAGCTTTTCTGTCCTCTCCTGTTCTGGTTAACTTGGTTGCGTTGTTGGCTGCTATCCTGTTGTCTTTTCCTATCTCAGTTAAAGTTAGGAGTTGACCTCATAAGACATTTAAATCGTGCAACTTGTGTGTCTCAGGCAAACGATATTAGCACTAATTGTGTGATTTCATGAGCAATTTAAGCCAGTCTAAACCTAGATTGCTCTGGAAAATGGATTCTACCATCATCCTTAGTCACGCTGCCTGGTAAGCCCTGATATCAACAATGCTGTGGTCAGGGAACTAGGCAGGGAATTAATCCAATTGAAATCCCCCCCATTCCTTCCCGCCCTGGCTTATTTTTCAGCCACGTGAATTCTTGGGCTATACAAGAAGTGCTGGTGGCACAAAAGAGATATCTCTTAGGACTGGTAGGGCATGAATGCTTCTTTAGTAGCACTTTGGTTTACCTTGCTCACAAGACTGTATATTGAAGGATAAAATGTATCCTGCTCTTGTCTTGTACTAGAGGGATTCAGTAAAATAGGTCAGATCAAGGATGACCTCAACCGCTGAAGAAAAAAGGAAATGCATATGGGGTGGGAAGAGGAGGGGTTCTACCTCTTCTTATAGCAGCTATTAGGCACCAAGCTATTGGTTATAGTCTCAAGGAAATGCATATGGGGTGGGAAGAGGGAGGGGTTCTACCTCTTCTTATAGTAGCTATTAGGCACCAAGCTATTGGTTACAGTCTTCCATATTTTCCAATTAGCTTCAAATTTTGTCACAAAATTACTTGGAGAGCTTGAGCTACACCTTTATCCTTGTTTATTTTCCCTGGCTGAAATCTTCTGTTCAGGTTATCTCCTGCATATGCTGCTGTGGTGGTGGTCTGTTTTTGAAGAAGGCTCATTTGTACCCTCTGTCAATATCTGGTTTACAAGTGTATAGTATTTGCAGATTTCTTCACAAATCCTTCACAGCTTCTGAGATTACCTTCTCAATAAACGCTGGAGTTGTACCTGTTCCAGACATTATTAGCAACAATAGCTCTTTGATGTTCAAGTACCTGCAGTTCCTATAAAATATTTTATATTGTTGAATAAGTAAAAGTAGTATGTTTTGATCTGTGGTTAGTAGTAGATTGTTTCTAGATATTTGGAAAGAGCTTGTATTTAGAATAGGTATGTTTTGTGACTTCAGAAAGACCTCTCTCTAAAAGAAACAGTGAATGTTAAATAGCGCTAATTTACTGCCTGATTTTTATGATTAACCTAAAACAACTGCATAAAGCAAATGCCTTTCTTCTGGGAGACAGAGATATAGCAAATGGCTTTTGTTTTAATTCTGTGCAGTCTTTCAGCTTAAAAAAGAAGAATCCCTTCCCTTTCTGGTAATGTTTGGAATGTAATTGTTTTATTCTATTACAAAAGACTTTGACTTTGTTTTCATTTCTCTTTTACTTTAGTTCTAACCATATTTATAAACCTGTTACTTCTTCAGCCTATCCAGCCTCTGCAGCCTTCTTCGCAGCCTGTTCACTACTCTGCAGTCTCTTATCCACCCCCGCTCCTGCCAGTCTCCTCTGCCCAGCAATATTCTGTGGTACTACATCTTCTGTTCATCTCTTCTCTGCCTGCATTACTCTTTAGTGGATGCTGATCTTTGCTTAATTGTTTGTAAGCGGTGTGCGATACCAGTGTAGTGACTGGCTAGTTTCAATCACAGTGAGACATTACCTGAGTGGGGAAAAAATAGTTCCTGAGATCTTAACGTGTTTGTTTCAAGTTCAGTGGGAATGCATCCAACTTGAGCAATATTTTCTTTCTCATTGTAAGGGAACAGCCTTTTCAATACTCTTGTCTTGTTAACCAGTCAGTACCTATTGTTATGTCTCTGGATTAACCTCTCCCCATCTTATCTTGTTGTTTCTTTGTGTGTCTGTTCTTTCTTCTGCTGGCCCCAAATCTCTTTTCAAGGATCAGCCTGGGTGTATTTCTGAGATTGCGTTTTCCTAGTCTCTGCCAGAACACTAAAACTGCCAGAATGCTGACACTCCCAGTTCACCAGCATCCTTTGTGTCATAAACAAAGGAGCTGGAAGTGAAATCTGTTAAAGTGTTTTGTAAACATTAAAACAAACCAGACTTAAGAGTCATCTTAATACAGAAAAGAAACTGAAATCTCATAAATGAGAAACCAGTTATCTAAGGCAGAATCTGAACTAGCATTCAGGTAAAAAATTGAGGCTTTGTGACTCCCAAACCTTTGCTCTGACCTGCTGATGAACAAGTGATAACGATAGTGTTTTATTATGTATTTAGAGTATTTTATTTTATTACAGCTTTCAACATTAATCAGAAATACCTTCTAATGAAATGGATACAGATTTATCTAAATTCAATAGCCTGCATATAATTAAAATTATTTTATTAGTTTCCTTTACTTAGGTATACAGTTCTAAAAGGAATTGCACTTTGTGGAAAGTGTTTTGTTTTTAGCATTGTTTCTCATGTTATTTTGAATTTTCTCATGTTAGTTTGAATACATAGGAACGGCAGTCAGTATAATTTATCATTCTCAAAATAGGAAGCTTATATAGGCTAAATTACTATGCAAATTTAGCATGTAGCTATGATTTGTAATCACTGTAAGGTGTGTGTGTGTGTGTATACGCACACACACACACATATATAAAAACAGAAAATGAAGCTCCTTGTGGATTTATAATAGTGTCAGATCATTTCACATCCAGGAAATGTGTTCAAATAAAATCTGTGTTGGCAGTTCCAGAAAATTATTATTACTGATGGCAACATCTGTAATATAAGGAAAAAGGTTGAGGGTCTTGGTTCATAACCTAGATGAGACACATACATAGTTGGTAACAGGGAAGTCTGGTTTATCCATTTGGTAATACCATGTTTGTGGTTCATCATGCTTGTACTATATCATATCTGAATTTACTGATATTGGTCATGTAATAGAAATGGTTATATATTGCTTGGGTTTATCCTTTGGACGTTTTTGCAGGTAATAGTAAATCATAATTAGATGTCTATATGAAAGATATTTACTCTGTAGACTGGATATTATGTAAAGCAGAATGTGAAATCAATGTGGGAAAGTTTTTATGGTCACGTTAATAGGCCTCATTTAAGTTTGAAATGCCAAAATTGAAGTGAAATTATTGATCTAATAGGAATAAAGAGGTTTTTTTTTTTTAAGCTGTAAATATATTCTAAATAAAGTCTTTAGGGAAAATTCATATTTCTAGTGGTAATTAATGTTTTCAGACTTGGAACTAAAGTTTTCACAAAATCAGTAAAAGATGGAAGTTGCACTTTTTCATTTTCACATCACTCCTTCCTCCCCTTACCTCCAAATCATTACTTTCCTGGAACAGCAAAGAGGTTGCATTTCAGTCCCTCTGTCTTCTTCAGGCGAGAGAGGATCAGGTAGTCTTAAAATAGTTAGTATTTCTCAATGTTTGAAGAGTCTGCTTTCAAAATGTTAACCAAATCTTCCAGATAGGCGGAGATATAATACTAGTGATCATTCTTAATTTCCAGGATGTTGATAATCTATTTGATGTTGGATTGTTTGTAAAATAAATAAGCAAGCCCTTGCAGTTACAATAATAGAAGTTTGAAATTTCACCGGACACCTGCAGTGCTCAGTGCCATCACCATCATAGTTGTAGTTGTTAATAAAATACAGATAATAGATAACCACTAGAATAGATTCCTTTTTATCCTGAAATCAGTTATGTAGTAGAATACTAATTTAGACTAATGAACCTTGTTATTCAGGATTAGAGCCTAAAACTCTTAAAATCAAAAATTACTTTAACAATACTAATGCCTTCTGATGTTTAAATTGGGGTTAGATATTTTCACTCTAATTTTCAATCAGAAAATATTAGTGACATAAATTATGACCTCATTTTGACAATTTAATTCTTACAATAAGTAGAGACAAATGTAATAATAAGAAGAATTGAAGCTAGAAGAGAAGAGTCTGAATGTGGGTGTGTGTTCCCCTAGTCAGCCCTGACAGTTTACTGCTGTGTTGCATTGTGCTCTGAAGCTTTCCTGTTCTTTGTTGCTAATTCGGTAGGTTGCGACATGCAGATCTAAAACTTTTTTTTTTTTTTAAACTATTATAGCAAGACAACCTAGGATCACAATTTAGCCATATGAGTCTTTCCTGCCAGCCATCTGCTGATCCAGCTGAACCTCACACCACTATGTTCCAGTCCACTGTAGTCCTCCAGCCCCCGCAGCAGTCCGCTTATGTCATTGCAGCGGCTCCCCCACCTTCTGGCCAGCCAGTTTCTACTCCAGGCTACTCTACACCTAGCCACCCTGTCAACCAGCAGGTACTCCAGCAGCAGGGATATATGCAGCAACCTGTGCCACAGGTAGAATGACTGTTTCCCTTCCCCTAAAGCTATATTTAAAAAATGATCATGCTGTTCCATTAATGAGCTTGTTACACAGTATAGGGCTCCCTGTTAAACAGGGTGGGGTGTTGTTTTTTTGTTTCTGTGCTTTGAAATGAATGATTTCAATTTACTTGGGGAGGAATAATCACCCAGGCTTGACTATTTACCTGTAGCTGGTAAAATCATGCAAATTCAGAGCGCTTTGCTACTAGTAGTGAAATTTTAAAGCTGCGACATGTCAATTTTGTACATACTCATATTTTTCATGTGTTTACGGCTTTCTGGTGTTTAAAATGTTTCTTTGCAGAAAACTGGTCCAAAGTTCCTAAATGTATGTCTCTACTTATTTATTTTCCTCCTCTCCCTCTAGTCTCTCTCCTGTGTGGTTCCAGTTTGCAGTAGCTACTTGGTTTACAGTTTTTAACAGCAGTCTTTAGTGATCAGTGGTTACTGTCCTCTGATTTTCCATTGCAATGGTTATGGCAATGGCTAAATGACAAGCATTGTCATCAAAGCCTGCTAAAAGCAGTTCATGAACATACTGCCAGTCTTTATGTAGTAAGTTGGAACCTTTTTCTTCTACAGTGAAAACAGAAGAAAAGTAGTTTTTAAAGGGGAGTTTGTGTGGAATAAAAACTTCTGATTGCTGTAGGCGTTTGGCATTAGTTGCACTTTTTAATTAGTTTTAAGTCTGTCTTTTACTGTTTGGTTCTTTTTCAGCCTCAGTGTTGTGATGTCTGCCTTCTATAAAGTTGCAGGTACTGAGTCTTGTAATTTTATTTTTATTTTTTTTAGGTGCCAGCTTGTTATTGTACCCCCAGTCAGTATTCACACTCCAGTCAACAATATCGACCTGTTACTTCTGTCCATTTTAATGCCCAGCAAAGCCAACCATTGGCACAGCCTGGACAGCAGACAGGTTTGTTTGAACTTTTTTCAGCATTTCATTAGAACACATCTTATGCACGTTTTTTCCTGTTCCTGATTTTTAAATTTATTTTGCTGTATGTTATGTAAAATACTTCCTTAAGTGGAAAAATTCAAATTAGTTGTTTATGAAACTTGAGCTTTGAGTCGTTAGTGTGAATGGCTCATGAAGTTACAGGATAATCTATATTTAGTGCAGAGCTGAATAACTTTAAAAATTAGAACTTAGGAACTCACAAAATAGGATAAATTAATAAATTTAAATGAAGTAATATTTCAGAGATGTACCTTAACTGAAAGTTCTAAACAAAGAGTACCGATTTTTAGATGTTGTGACATGAAAATATCAGCAATATCTATATAGTAGTCTTTTATTCTATTTAAGACTGCAGTTGAAAATAACATGGAATAAATTGTCTTCCTGTCCTTTGTGATTGAAGAAATCTGGGTATTGAACAGTATATAATGAGATTTTAAATAATTAGTTTTCTGCTCCTCCCATTTTTAGTAGACTTTTCTACAGTTTCTGAATGATCTGTGTGAATGCCACCAAAGCTTTATCTCCTTTCTTTCCTGTTGCTTTTTTCCTTACACATTTTAGCGGTAGCTGCCATTATTCTGATAGTCTGTGCAGTTAAAAGTATTGTTAGACTTTTTCTACAAGACGTGCGTTCCTGAAGCAAATTTACTTCTGAGTAATGTCTTGACTTGCAGTAAAAGCTTTCAGAAGTAGCAAGTGATGCTTGGGGGACATCTTGGCAGAGATCCTTTTTAAAAACAAAACAAAAAAAAAACCAAAAAAAACCCCAGACTTTTGACAGTTGAGTATGTCAGGATTAAGGTGTCCTCTGGAGCTTCCTTTAGGAAGAAGGATTCTTTAACTTGCCCCCAGACTATGTGATGTTTTCCAGCCACAGGATGGAAGATGAACGTTTATAAATGTTAACTGGATTTCTTTATATCTGTCCTATGAAGTAACCGATTAGTGTTCAGAAGGGCTGGCTCCCTCTTCTGTAGCTCTTTTACGATACTGCTCCAATAGCAGCAACACTTGGATGGGTTATTTAGGGCTCAGGTTACTAACTTATGCAGGGTTATTTCACTGTGGAATCATCAAGATGTGATGCCTGTTACGACAGGGTTGTCGTCGTCAGTTCAGTAAAAATACTGTTACTACCTGCAATATAGGTCGCCGCTTCTCAGTCTTCAGAAGTGGAAGTGTATTGACAGTTGCTCAAAGGAAAACAAATTGCTAGTTGTTTTACTAGTTGTTTTATCCAATTGTGTTAAAGATGTGCCATCCATCTGTGTTGCACAACCTGCTGTCCTTCCTCAGAGTTTTTAATAGCTAGACTACTTAATGGCAAAGAGTTGAGGCATAGCTGGGGTTACTTTGCCACTTATGGGGACACCCTATGTAGATAGCACATGGACTCTCTGACTCAGAGGCATCCCCATGTATATATGTAGCTAACCAAAAGAATTTGAATTCTGAATTGGAAAGCATGGGGTGGAGGCGCATCGATGCTAAGATGCGAAGGGAGGAGTCAGTTACTATTCGGTAAGTAAGTTTCTTTTTATATGTTTTTAGCTCTTTCCATTTTCCTTGAATTCCATTGTCTGTAACATGGACAGGGTGACATAAAGCATCAGCACTTAAAACCTCCATCTATGTCCTAGAAGCAATAAAATAAGACAGTAAAGAGAGAAAGACAGCTGTGACAGTGTTTATTACTTTGATGGTAATACCTTGTATGTGTAACCCTGGCATCAAGGGACTATGTTTAACTAGTGAAAAGGTGGTCCAGCCAGTAAATCCATTTCATTCCTGACTGATTACTTGGTATGTAGCTAGTACCAATTGGAGAGACGGATACTCTACTGATAACTGCATAATTAGTATTTAATCTGAAATCGCCAAATTGCTACCCATATGCTGCTGGATCTCATTCATTGCTTTATAGGCAAGTTTGAATCAATTCAAACTCCTAGAGATGGAAGGTTCCATGTCACGTTTTCAGGTCTGTGGACTGTTCATGAGAATGCAGAATTTAAAATGATCTCTCCTCTAGATTCACTTTAAACCTTGAATATTTGTGTTAAGCTGACACAAAGCTGTATCTAAAATGGTTGATGCTTATTAACAACAGCTGTTTTTGAAACAAAAGGCAGCATGTTGCTTGGCTAATGTGTCTGGTCAAAAAAGAGACTTTTAACACATTTTGTATTACTTAAAAGCTGTGGATTTTACTCATCTGATAAAGTGCTTAGTAACAATGAAATAACTTTCAAAACAGAAATTCAGATAAAAGATGACAACGTCTGAAAATGTGGCAAATGAAGCCATGTTTGGTGGAATGGCTTGGCTTTATGTATGAGCTGTTGGATTCGGGGCCGTAACACTGTCTGAGAGGTGTACATTTCTCACAGTGAACCGGTCTCTTTTTCAGCTGCTTCCCGGCATCCTTTTTAAAGGGGTTTCAGGTGTGATATTTGAGGGATTTTCACTGTGAGGGTGACAGAGCATTGGAACAGGTTGCCCAGAGAGGTAGTGGAGTCTCCTTCCCTGGAGATATTCAAAACCCGTCTGGATGTGATCCTGGGCAATATGCTCTAGGTGACCCTGCTTGAGCAGGGAGGTTGGACTAGATGATCTCCAGAGGTCCCTTCCAACCTAAACGATTCTGTGATTCTGTGGATTAACTTTTAATAAAATGCTTTGCTTGCCCGAGAGATGATGGGAGAAGGAAAGTCTCCTTTAGAAAATGGCATTTCAGCTCATGATACTGAGGGCCCACTTACCGTGAGACCCAGCTGTAGGCCAAATTAAAAAAAAAATCTTCTCTGAACTACAGTTACTCTAGGAATACCAGCTGAAGTTAAACTAGCTTCTGCTACGTAACTGCCAAATATTACTGAGAGATGTATAAGCTTCTTAACCAAGTTGTTGAACTTGTTTTTCCTTTCTTGAATAAAAGTTGTTTTAATGTGTTATTCATAAAATGTATTTCTGTATTCCTAGGTTAACTTTTGTTATGTTAATGATTTATTTAGAGTTTTGTGCTATATAAAAATTAAGAAAAATGTTCCTTTTTGTAGGTGCTGTTTCAGGGTATTTCTGTGTAATGAGCCAGTCTCCTATGGCAGGTGCATTTTTTTCGGCTGAGTGCTGCATTTCTGTCATACCGCTCTCTATGGAGAGGTGAAGTTGTGAAGCTAGAAAAAGAGCTTTCTCTGGAATTCTGTGGGCCACCTTCTTGGTCAATTTATATAGTCCCAATTCTCTCTGCTTACAAAATTGATTATGTCTGTATTTGAAAGTGCCAGAAGAAGCTCAAAAATATTCACAGCTACACTGTGATTTCTGAGAAATGACGGTTTTAGATTGCAGGTCTATTGATTGAACCTATCATATACTGCAGCTTTATGTTAGGCTGCTTTTTAGGTGCTATAGATCATTTTGTAACAAAGTATTTTTAAGCGTTTTGTTTATTATATGTGTCTGAGAGACGGAGGGTTTTTTTTTTTACATAGTTCAAACTTAGAAAGTTGTTAACAAGAATCTAATTACTAATCCTGATTCAAGTATGCGTTGTTCTGAATGTGTAATCCTTTGAAAATATTTCTCTGCAGTGTTGTATATTTCTAATGAATAGATCTCTTAATAAACTGAATCTTTTTCCCTTTAATTTTCTGAAGCCAATATTTGACTATATTAGTGGTCTGTTAGACTTCTGTTAAACAGCTAAGACTTTAATCCACAATGCTCATTGTACCCAGTGAACATTTTTAAAGGAAAAAAGATTTTTGTTAATAATAATTTGGGAAATAGAGAAAGCGGTTTTTAAATGTAGTTTTTTCAAAAAATCAGAGTTCTTGCAGCTGTATTTGTTGTATTAACTATAGTTCAATACCATGGGCAGAGAGCATGGGCGATGTTAAGCTCAATAGAATGTGAACGTGTCCAAGTTAAATACAGACTCTTCCTCCTGTGTCCGTGCCTCGCTGTTTTGACAAGGCCAGTTCTGTTATCCCCGAGCGATGACTGGCTTTGTCTCAGAAACACAGATATTCACTGGTTTTGCTGAAGTGATGAGTAGTTAAGCTCATACATGTGCGATAACAAAAAGAATTTTACTTGTGATCTGCATGTGGTTTTGACCATGCTGAGTCTAGCTATTAGACGCTCAAAAAGCGAGGTGGGACTGGCAAGGCTACAGTAAACGCACAGATGCCTTTTCCTGTTTGGCTCCCGTGCTTGACTGTTTGTTTATTTAGGCCGTTTTTGAAAGCATTTGGATACCAGTTTAAGCAATAATAACTTGTTATAGAGGACACTGTAAAGGGCTGAACATGAGAATCTTTAATAGCTTTTTTCAAGATAACCTTGAATATAAATTGCCTTCAGCTGCATATGAGCATGACTTTTAGCTGAAGGTTTTTTAGCATTATGGACTCCAGTAGAAATTACCGTTTTTAAAAGGACTTACACGTATGCTTTGCACAAACTTTTGTGAAGCGTGCTTGGGTCTTGAATCACAGTCAAGATATTTTCATCCCTAGGGCACCAAATACACTAGTAGAATTCAGCATAACCAGAATTTCAAAACTAACAGACCTAAAATGGCCTCGTTCCTAATAATGGACAATTAATTGCTTTTGCCATTAGCATGTTTTGTTCATCTGCTTTCAGCTTTCACCAGTCAAATCAAGGTGTTAATACATGTAACTCACTTCAGTGTAAATAAATATTGCAAACATATGATAGCAGCATTGCAAATGGTACCTACTGTTTTTCATACTGGAGTCAGATGGATCCAAATGAGTAACTCTGCTAATTTTTGATGTTGGCTTTTTTTGTATATGTGGTAAGTTCAACCCTTTATAAAGTTGGCAGATGTGAAAAAGCCTTTTGAAAATGCCTCCCACACCTTTTCATATAGGCAACTGTGTATAAAATGAGTTCAGATATAACTATTTCAAAATAAGATTTAAATATATAATTTCAGGTTACCAAATTTTGCCTAACCAGCAACAAAACTACCAGGGTTTAGTTGGAGTTCAGCAGTCTCAGAATCAAAATCTAGTCAGTGGCCAACACAGCAACATTGGGAATCAAATTCAAGGTGTGATTGTTCCATATCCTTCAGTGCCATCTTATCAGGTGGGTAATCAATGCATAACTTTCCGATCACTCTTCTGCAGGTTTCAGAGTGATTTTATTTATTTATTTTAACTGCATTGCTTTGTAAACTGCAGAGAGCTGCAAGCAGGTGCCAAAGACTTTGAGGAGAAAATTTAAAAATAAAAAATAGACTTGAAGTGAGAAGCGAGTCTGTCAAAAGTGAAAAGTGCAAATGTTTAATTTCCTGTTGAATGTACTTCACATTTGGAGGATGGAAAGAAATAGCTCAGAGACTACTTCTTCGTACCTAACTTTGCTGACTGGACGATACTCCCATAAAGAAGCTGTTCTTGAGCTGCGCTTCCAACTGTTTTGCTGTATAGCAAGACAACCTTGGTCTGGCAAACACACACAGGCAGGAGCTTTCTGTTTTGACCTCTCATCCTTGTCCGTCTCTTCGGTCACATCAGTGATACTGAACACTGCTAATCTTGTCCGAGTTTTCAGTTTGCCCCAGAAAGATCTCTCTATTGTTAATAACTGCATGTCTGCCATTAATGGAGACCTCTTTTTTTTTTTTTTTCCCTTCTTGCCATGATAAAGTAGCAATTGCATTCTTTTTCCCTGTTATGAAGACCTACTCCCTTCCTGCGATTTCACTGTAGCAATACCAGATTTGACAGTTTATACTTTTCAGCTGTCAGCAAAGCTGTTTCTTGGAGTACTTACCTATAAAGACTGCCTTTTTCATTTGACCTTTACTAAACTTTGAAGGGTATAAGACTTGTCCTAGGGCCAGCTCCTGCTGTGCAATATCTTTATAAAACAGCATCTCGTGGATTGCAGTGAACAAATTCGGTGCAAATCAGTTTTCATGCCTTAGTCAATCTCAGCCCTCCCGTTTTTCCCTCCACGCTCCAGAAGGACAACTAAATTTCACAAATCCAGAGAAATAAGAATGTTATCTTTGACCTTCTTTTCTACCTTTTAAAAAAAAAAAAAAAAAAAAAAAAAGCTTGATCCTTCTAGGAGAAGGGTTATAGATCTTGTAAATTGTCCCCAAAGTTATTTGATGGGACCTTTTAACTACATTAATTGAGAAAGCTAGAGTGAACTAATCGTAAGAGCTCTGTCAGTCACTATAGCATTATTGACATTATTGAAGAATGTCTTTATTTTTCAGATCTGTAAAGCTATCTCTGTGGAACTGGGTCCTTATGTGTGTGAAATGTCTGTTTTTGGAAAACCTGTCCCTTAGTCCGCTGTTAGCTTGAACGCCAACCTCCTGTTTCTTGATGAATAGATGAATGTCTGTAGTCACCAAGAATATAGTTCATGTGAACAATCCCTTAAAAAATTAAAAAGTTACTTGCTTTGCAGCACTTATTATTCAGAAAGTGCTATTCATTTGCTTTGCACAATCCTCTTACCTGGTCTCAGACTTCAGTCTGCAAGTATGGCACTGAGGAACAACTGTGCCTGTTTTTCCCATGCATGTTCAAATGCTCCGGATCCCACGCAAAAGAAATGTGGGGTAGGGGTATTGCCCCAATGCACACAACTTTTTCTGGAAAAAAAAAATTAAAAAAAAAAAAAAACACGCATATGGGCGACACATTCAAAGAACTAGAGTTTTTGTAGGCGAGTCATAGTTCATTGCTCTGGGGATTTTTCAAAGTAGATTTTCTGGGTCTCTCTCATCTATTCTGATTCCTTTAAGGAATTCATCTTATTTTTTCAGAACTGGCTGGTTAATTATGAGAGTTATATAATTACTGAAAACTTTCCCTTTTGTTTTTCTAGTATTTTATTCTTAACGTTCATCTGCATCTTTACCTGCTCGTTGTCTGTATTTTTTAGGCACTTAAAGCAACCAGCTCACATAGCAAATCACAAAGGCAAGAAAATTCCATTGCCTTTTTCATTGAGGAGGGGAAAAAAAGTAATTATCTGATAGTGGAAAAAATTATGCCACTTGGCTAAGGATTTCTGCTTGATATTTTCAGCAAAATAGCATCATGTGTGCTTCTTAAATGTGATTGGTATAATGTGTAGACTTGGAAACATGTGCCAAATTATAATTCCCCTACCTCAACCCCACCCTCAGTCACTCTTGCTAGTAGTAAAGCATATGCTGTTTTCTTTCTCCTCCCCTGAGATTTGTTTTTAATTGCTTCAAATTGTGGACTTAGCCTGAAGCCTTGTTGAATAAGACTAAATAAATTTTACATCTCTTGTAGTTTCCACCTGTTACACTCTGTAAATTAATGAAAATAGAACATGTAGTTAGATTAGCAAGTAAGTAATGTTCTAGGATAGATTGTTGTCTTGGTGGTAAGAAGGAATGAATTTAGTGTGTATTTCAGTGTCTTAACCTTAGCCATGTTTTTAAAAAAATTCTTATATAACTGGGTAACGGTCAGGAGGCAGAAGAAAACTTTATCTGCAGAAGGAAGTCTTGATGTGCTCTCAATTTTAGGTTTCGATGCCTCAAGGTTCCAAAGCAGTGCCCCAGCAGACATATCAGCAGCCTCTTTTAATTCCCAGTCAGTCAAATCAAGGATTGCCAGCAACAGGAATGCCAGTTTACTACAGCGTCATTCCATCAAGTCAGCAGAATAATTTAAGGTGAGTTTAACTCCATTACTTAATTTTCAGCAATGGGGATTGATTGCCTTGTAGTAACTGACAGAATTTGCTGTAGCATTGCAAGTATTAGAATGTATTTTAAAGGTAGACCTACAAACACTTTATTATCTATTTATATTTCCTTTTTTACAGTTAACTAAAGTAATAAATACTGCTTTAATTGGGACTTACTTGTTTACTGCAAAAACAGTATTTCTATTTCACGTTCAGCAGTAGCTTCTTGTAATATACTTCTAAGACTTAGTTTTGTGTATACCTTTCTTACACATCCTTATATGAAACACCATTGTGAATATAGTTCCTTTTTGCAATGACGTTTAAGATGACTGTCTTTATTCACTGGTTTTGTCAAAGATGCTACTTTAAGAAGGGATAGAGAAAAGAGATTTGAGCCCACAAAATAGGCTGTTAATTTCTTGCTCTTTCGGAGGATTGTCTCCTGGAAGGAGCTTAGCTTTCTTTGTCCGTGTAGCTAATCAAGCCTGCTTGCACAAACCTCTCTATGAAATGAGGGTAGGAATTTTTTGTGTGCTCATGTTTTGTATGAAAAATAGCTTTTTTTTTTTTTTAATCTACCGTGATAACAGCACGTTGGTCTATGTGTACAGACCTCCCTGTGTGTCCTAATGACATGAGTATTGATGAGAGAACGGGTAGATATTTGTAAGACTTGACCAGGATTAATATTTGTCACAATTTTTCCTTTACTTAGTCTTTTTGGACTTACAAACATGTCTCTTTTAAAAATATCTTGCTTGTAGCTTTTGAACAAGCAGCAACAGTATGAAGCCTGCTTCCTCTTGTGAGTGTAGAGATTTAACTAGTACTTGTGTTGTTTCTACATGGCTTCATCTGCTTAAATGAATCTCAGTTCTTGTTCTTTGTACGTGTAGATCTTTTCTTAACCTTTTCTTTTGTAGTTATTTTTGAGATTCAGTGGAGTCAGCAGACATAAACTCAGGCTTTTTTTTTTTTTCCGTAAGTTTTATTGCTTACTTTTTTGTTCCATTTGGAATGTCTCCCTCTTTCAAAGAAGGAAATATTTGTTTGGAATTCAGAGCAGCCTAACAGCTAATGACAGCATCTTGTTCTTCCAAGATAGGTATGTTGGAGCACTTTGACAAGGAAAGTAGAATACTGTTCTGCAGGAACTGGATATTCTCAAGCCCTTCAGTCACTGTTGAAAAGAAAACTATAATCTGTAGGCACATGAGAAAATATGTGAGACTGCACATGTTGCATGCAGATATCAAATCATCTGTTTTAGTTTTCACTGAGTTTTGCCTGCTTAAATAGGGCACTATAATTAAAATCATATACTTGAACTGTGGGAAAAAGGACAGGACAAACTGCCCTTGAAGACGAGTAAAAATGATGTGACCGACAGGATTACGCCTACTTTTTTTTTTTCCCCCCACAGCTTGCTGTTATAAAAATATCTTTCTCATTCCGGCAGGATGTTTATTTTATGTGTTAGAATCCTGTACTTCATTTTGGTACTATAGGCGCCGTTCTGACTGCAGTCCGTCAACCTCATATTCTGACCCTGGTAGTACGATGTTTCAGAAGAAAGACTTGCCTTCAGAGTTCCCACTTGGTGCACAAATGTGCATGCACTGTGCATCTAGGCAGTTGTATAACTGCAAAACTGAAACACCAGTGCAGCAGCTAAAAACATGAAATTTCATTTAAATTGTCCCGTACAGCAAAATATTTTAAGCACATGCCTAAAGTTTATTATGCATCTCACTTCTTTCCTGTGTAAGAGTTGGCTTGAGCTTGTGTATTTCTACAAAGCAAGAAAAAATAGTATGATAGAACTTGTGCGTGTCTGTCATTTATCTGTCTCTCCACTGAATGCCTGAAAATTATCTGGCATAAATGAATTTTTAAAGTTATCCTTGTAGGTGCTACAAACATATGAAGGTTCCATATCCTTGAGCCTTCTCCTGTGACTACTGACTAGGTGGTGGGAAAAGGAAAAATAACTAAAGTCAGAGTAAGGCAGTCACTGCAGACTTCTGCTTAAGCTGTGGTGTTCTGCGCTGGAGCAGCTGAGCGTGTTCATGCAGTCCACTCTGGCGCAGCTGCGTGGGGCTAGCCTCCAGCTGAGAGACAGCAGCTGAAACCCTCATGGCGAGTTCTGTAGGGATCATCTGACTGAGACCTAATTCTGGTTAATTGGACAAGTCAACAAACTGTCTTTTTTTTTTTTGTTTTATTCTACATATCTTTATACTAATATAGCTCTCTCTACACAAAAATATCAAAATAGGTGAAGTAGTACAGCTTCTTAATATATACAGGGTATAAGTTATAGCATATGAAGAGCATGTTTTTTTTTTTTCTTAAACTTCTCTTCTGAAGAAAAAGTAGATTCTGGGAGGAGCAGGAGGGAGGAGATTATTGATTTAAAGTTATCAAAATCTCTATTCCTTGCAGTATGTGCAGATGACTAATGCAGCAGCCATGATTTAAAGAAGTGTTGCATAAACTGTCTTCTGTTAGTCATATTTTTATTATTATTACAGTTCCTCAGTAGGATATTTGCAGCCTCCTGGATCAGAGCAGATACAGTTTCCTAGAACATCATCACCATGCAACTCACAGCAGCTTCAAGGACAGCAATGTGCAGGTTGGGGAATAAACAGTTTTTTGAATGACTTAAAAATTTTCTAGCTATTATTATGCTGGGTAGTTGGATGTTTGCTATTAGGGGTGTGATTTAGAATTAACTATTATATTCCTTTTGTAATTTTTTTTTTAAGTTATACTGGAGGCAGGTTAACTTGACTTCTCAATTGATTTGTTTATCATTGAAAGCTGTCAAATTACTTAAAATTCAGTAATATACATTGTAATACCTTCCTTGTATGCTTATGAGTTGAGGGGAAAAAAAAGATATGGGAATAAATATAGACTCATGAGAATGACTTGCATCTTTTCCTAAACAGCGGCACAGTTCTGAAAAATTTGAGATTTGGGATTGCGTTTGATAGCAAGAGCAATTTCGTTGTGGAAGCAGTATACTTGGCTCCTCTGCTTAAAAAGCATTCAGGATTATTCATATGAATAAACTAGGAGTAACAAATTTTTTTCCCAAGAGTTCCTGGGGAGAAGAGGGTGACAATTTTAAGTATTCTTTAGTAGGGATAGAGAGGATAGGTAGATTTTTTGGACCTGCTGGAAGGGAAAGTGAAATACTGTTAAGTGCTTTGGGTTGGTTGGTTTGTTTGTTTGTTTTTAAATAGTAGCCTTATTTACTGCTTTTACTTTCATAGTTTATAGCAACCATTCAAGTCAGAAGCCATCACCTCCTACATTATTACCACCTTCATCAAAATCAAAGCCACAACAGGCTGCTTCCATTGTGCACTACAGCATAGTGTCTTCACCCTCATCCTGTAAAAGTTCGCCCACTGGTCTTTCCATCATGCAGCCAATAAAAGGTATATTTTACTAGGATTTTCATGTAAGCTATTCTGTCTAGAAATCTATTGTAAATTATTGGATTGATTTCCTGGATAATAGAATTGTGACTTGAGTGCCATCTGTATGAATACTTGTTTTTTTTTTTTTTTTTAATTCTTCTGAATTGGCACTACTGATGTAGCTTATAAACCAGGAACTTGAAATGTAAGTGAAAGAATAGCCAGCTTCCTGGGGGCAGCTCAGAGACAGCTTTCCTCAATGGATAAGAATGTCACTTACACAGAACCGCTTTTGCCAGGTTCAGAATGTTTCAATCTACAAAATTTTTTAGAAGGTGATTTTTAGAAGGTGTATAAATAGCAGCCTCAGTGGGGTTTGAAAACAGCATTGATTTTGAAACAGCTTGTTATATCCCCCAAATGTTTATAAATGTTAATAACTGAACACCTACATCCTCTGAATTACCAGCTACAACTTTCATGTAATTGACAGACTGCTCAGGAAATTCGGGGCGTTAGGGCTAGACTGTAACCAAGGAGGTTATAGAACAATCCTATAATCATATTGGTTCTGTCCTCCTTTTACTGAGAGCAAATCTGATGCATTAGAGGCTGGGCTGCCAAAAAAGCTGTAATCTCAAATATTTCTATCTTTGCATTTTGCAAGCAACCAGTAGATTAAACAACCCTGTGTCAATGACCTAGATTCTGCTATAAATGTCTTTTTTTTTTTTTCTTATGAACATTTATCTCTTACGGATTTTTTTTTATAGCCTGTTTATTACTAAATATATAACATGCAGTTAAATAGCAAGGTTCTTAGCAGTATATTTTAGTGGATGTACAGGCTTGGTTTTGTTTCCATTTTGGTTGAAGTTTCTTCGGCTGCAGTTCTTGAAGACTTTGTCATTTCAGGATGTCTAAAATCGGTCTTGCCATAGTTTGTTCTTCCACCCTGTCATAATTTGTCCTGATAATTATGGTTTTAGGCAGTTTTGGATGCTTGATTCAAATCTGGTAAGCTAAATGATTTGAAGAAGTTTGTAGAAAGGGAAGCCTTCTGTAACATAGAACAAATATTGAGAGAATTTTAAAAGGGGGAGGGGGGGTGCACTTCTGCAGTAGTATTGAGGTGATGAATCAAAGTTAGATGAGGACATATGCAGACAAGCAGCTAGTGGTAATTTTTTTGATTCTAGAGGACTTACTCTGGGAACCTTCCAAAGATTTCTTCCGAGTTTCCTTTCTCATGCATTTTGACGGGTGATAAAGCATCTGCAAACTGACTTATGCCTTCTATGACACTTCACTTCATCAGCATGCTTAAGAATTCCATTTATTTCCATTTATTGAAATGCTGTGGAACTAATAGGGATAAAACAAACTAATCTTTTCAGATGTACAAACTTCTCTTTTTGCAGCTTAAGTAGGTTTTCAGGTTGTGACGATGTTGTTTTATTTGTTAAGAAATGATATTGTAGGTGATTTTGAAAGGTGAGCGTTGTTTGTTTGGGGTGTTTAGATGTCACAGAATGGAGGAAGAAAAAAGCCCAAAACAGTAGTATGCTGCGTGTTGTGGAATAAAATATTAAAATATTATAAAACAGATATAAATACATATTTTAATAAAATGAATATTATAAAATATTAAAAATGAAATCAATTTTCTTTTGCAAAACATAATGTGTGTATATATAGATGTTTACCAGGCACATCTCAGGTTTACATATATGTATTATGCTAATTTATGGCTTTGCCATTTGGAAACCATTATAGATGATATTCTGATTATGTAGTATGTACCCATAGAACGCTTTCATTTTGGTGTGCAACAAAACAGAAACATTCACAACCTAGCTCTTGTGGGGACAGAACAGGGACTCTTTAGTTTATATTCCCTGCTAAAGTTAGCCAGATACCTAATGCTTTCATTTCTATACATAACACACTGGTAGTACTTTCTTGCCTTTGAAAATATTTTTCTGATACTTGATCACAAAGGAAACCTAGATGTGAAAGCATTACTATTATTATTTCATTTATTTTGATAAATAAACACCAATATGGTAAATATTTCGGAATACAATTTACAGAGGTTAACGTTTTAACAGAATGAACATTCATTATTCTATGCTTTTGTTGTTCGATTTGCTTTTCTAAGCAGTCAAATTGTTTTTTTGTGGAGTGTAGGGATAGTGAAAACAGCCTATTTAAAAAAAAAAAAAAAATTTAAAAATGTGTTCATCTTGTATTTGACTTACATTGAAAGATGTACTAGGCAGTGAAATGAGACGTTTGTAGGCTCATCCCTCTTTAAAGGTAGATGATTAAATGATGTTTAAACCACATTTTAATCATGGTTTCTGAGAAATGATGTAAACAGTGGCTGGACCAGAGAGAGGAAATGTCCTGTTTACTTGCAAATGGTTGTTTGCCATTATATAAATCACCTAGGGTGAGTCAAGCCAAAAGGGGGAAGCAGCTTCTCTTGCACGCAGCCTCTCGTCGTAGCTCCTCACACAAAACCTTACGGAACAACGTTGGCTGTTCAGCTCTTCTCCCCTAACTGGGGAACTCTTGTAGCTACCACACTAACAAAGTAGTACAAGATGAGGGATCAATTTGCAGTCTTTGCCCAGAAAAATGATCGCATATAAAAACAATTTGTAAATGGGGCTAAATTAGCCTCATTTTACTGTAAAGACACATTCTAGGTCTTTCTGATGTGTGGCATCATGTTGGAGAAAACAGTCTGAGTCTATATTGCTGTTTATCATGAAACATGTTACATAATTTGTATTTTTAAATACTGCTTATTTTTACTGATTATGACCTATTCTTGGAGACATTGCTCTGACTATAACGACTGTAAATGCTAATTACTTTCAACTACAGTTAAATGGTGGAATGATTTGTTTCAAAAATATTCTCAATAATGAGCTTCAGTGGTTCCACTTAAAAAAAAAATTTTTAAGTTCTGGAAAGCCTTCTGTGCTATCCATCAAAGATTTATCTGATAGTAGAAGTGTAACTGTGTAGAAGATACTGCTGTAATTGTCTAGTATTTAGCAGTTCATTTTGCAAAATTTTCATTTTACATATATATACATAAATATATATGTATGTATGTATTTTTTAATTCACCTCTGTTCTGCTGAAATGAAAATTGAAATGTCTGTTGAGCTAACAGTTTCCTACCCATTTCTTGTGTTGTAGCAGTAGCACCACCACCAGGTGGAGGAGTAGTAATGATGCAACTAAATATACCTAACAATCCCCAGCCTCGGAACCATTCACCTCCACAGTGGAAACAGAATAAATATTATTGTGATCATCAAAGGGGGCAGAAGTCCACAGAATTTAGCACTTTAGACGGTGCCACACAGGTATGAGGCTTTTGTTTTGCTTCCTAGGATGGCTTATGATTTGCATAAATTGCGTCTTTGCATGTCTTTTAAGTTCTTTTTGGGGAAGTAAATCTTTTCTGATAGTGCTTACTATAGCTATTTTAACTTGGCTTCCTGTGTTGGAATGGTGAAGGTATTGTTTAGCTCATTCAACAAAAATATATATAGTGTTTAAACACTAACTTGTTGGCATTATCTTTATTGTAGTTGCAGCATAGTCCTCAACTAGGTAGTCCTGTCACCTCACCGACCCAGTCACCAGCACCAGCTCAGCTGTCGAATATGAAGAACATCCGTCCCACTTTAACACCTCTTTCTATTGTGCCCCAGTTTTCTAGACCTTTTGTCCCTGGACAAGGTATATTTTCAGTTAACTAAAATGTGTGCTTTCTATTTGAGTTTCTTTTATTAATTTACATGAGGACTTTCTGATAAACAAGTTCACTTTTAAGTGGTAGTCCTTTTGAAGAAGGATGAGAATTAGGTACTCTTCACCATGTACAAATTTACCCTCATCTTTCTGCACTGATACCATATTCTCCAGAGCTGTGATCCCCCTGTTATTGGGAGAGCTTTTGTAACCCACTAGCTCTCTCACATGCAGAATTCCCCACTTCAGCACTGTAAATCTTAATAAAATGTTTGCTATAATTTTGCTTTAAGTTTTAACCATAATTCAAGAACTCCACATACACTGTTACAAAGGAGGCAGTTTTAGAGCTACAAAGATAAATAATGTAGGACAAGCTGATCTTAATCAGGTGGATGTTATTTCTTGAGGGAAAGGATACAGGAATTGTGATGTTAAGATAAATGCTCTGCCAAACTCTTTATTTGTTGATGATGTGCTCAATCAAACCACTGCTTAGGTGTGCATTCATTCCTTTCTAGTAACACCCTCATGGTAGGGCTGGAACCTCTAGCCAATACTGCTGCTATTTCAAATAGTAATAAATAGTTCTGTTATCCATCTCTGGCTTCTCTCACCCAAATATGTAAGAAATTCCTTGTGGAAGAATTTCTGTCCTCTGCTGCCACAATAATAGAAGAACAGTAGATAAAATTATCAGAGATGTGAAAATTAGTTATTTAAAAAAAAAAAAAACTTTTAAAAAAAAAACCATGTCACTGACCAAAGATGTCTCGATATAGTTGCTAAGCTCAAAACTAATGAGTCTTATTTTACAGAAAGGTCTAAGCGAAAGAAAGTAAAGCAAATTACAGGAAAAGAATTTTGTATATCTTCCTTACTGATAAAACCTTATTTTTGTCTTTGTTTTTTTTCCTGCATAGTCTTTACATAATTGCTCTGTGTTCCATTTTTATTGCAAAAATTCCAGATCGCCTGTTATAAAGTTCCTTTCAATTTCAGAATTTCTTTCTCAACTTTCTTAATCTTTTGTTATAATTACAAATTTCTATTCAATTGCCTTGTGGATCCTTGGAGCAAGCGGGAATGTAAAGATAAACGTCGCACTCATCAAGGATATAACCATGCAAATGGTTAAAATAGTACACCAAGAGGAGCTTTAGCCTTATTAAGCTCATTTTGAAATAACAGGAACATAGATAAGACTGCAGAGAAGGAAAATTTCCATTTTTTCAGTTTAACTTCTAAATATAAGAAGCCTGAAGCTTGTACCTTTTCATCTTACGTGATGGGTCCATGCTTACTGTTAATTTTTGAAGCGCTCTTATTTAATCACGCCAAATCTTAATCTCTTAGTCTAGCCAAATTTGCTACTTTATATGTAATCATTCTGCTTTCTCTTCTGTGTAAGATACATACCTTAAGAGAATTTTGAGGAAGTTTTCATATTACAAGAAAAAAAAAATTCTAAATACCTCTCTCTTTAAGGAGATGCCAGATACCCATTGCTTGGCCAGCCCCTGCAATACAATCCACCATCTTTATTACGTGGACAAGTAACAAGCCAACAGGTATGAAAGAGAACGATCTCCTGGCAACACTGAAGAGAAAAATTGAGGACTGCCACTGTAATAACCAGAAACAGGGGAATACATTATTGCACTAGAAATGTAATTAACTGGAAGATGGCTGCTTTTCAATACAGTTTTACTCTGTATTGATTCTTCCCATTGTTTTTGTTTGTTTTTTTAAAAACAGTGAAAAACATTATTCTGAAATTTATCTTTTCTTAACCTAAATGTCAACCTGCAAAAGAAGATACAACGCACAGTGTAGACTATGAATTTTTTTGTAAGGGGTCTGCCAGCAGTTCCAAAAAAAATCACAGAAAGAACATGTGCTAAAATAAAGGGTTTTCTTTCAGTTTTATTTGTGTCACAACTTAAAATAAAAAAAAAAATGGATATCTCTAAAGAAAGAGCGTGGGAGGGTTTTTTAAACTTTTTTTAAACAGGATGATTTTTCATCCTGTTTTTTCCTTATGAAGCCATGACTAATAGCAGACCAGAAAATCTTCTCTGTACCATTGCTGTGCAGTTTACTTTCCAGACGCTTTTCTGCACCATCTCTAACTGAGCTAATCTTGAAATTTTAAATACTGATGCATTGTCATTAAAGTACATGATTTATATCTATCTGTCCAGTGTCAGCCTGGAAACAGACATGGAAACAGGGGAAAGAAGCCAGCAAAGAAGGCTGCTTCAGCAGATCTTGGTGCTGGAGAACCAGGTATAGAATTGCTGATTGACCCAGTCCTCCAACAGAATGGATTAATCAGAACAGAGCAGAGACAGCGGACATGTATGTAGGGTGTGGTAGTGTCCTTTTAATTATTACTGTTGTTATTATCTCATGTGGTGAATTATGGTGATGGGCTGGGGATGTAACAAGAAGAGCATAGGTGAAAAAGAGGCAAGAATGAAGAATGACTGGACAGAAACGGACAAGGCAAACCCTGGAAAGATAAGGATGGAGAGGAAAAAGACTTGATCAGGAGAGAGAGGGAAAGACGGTATTTAATGGAGAAAAGTGTTGTTCTGAGGGCTGGGGGAAGGACTAGAAAAGATAAGGATTGGACAGGACTGAAAGGAAAAAGGTCCTCCAGTTTACTGGACATAATACCAAAGGTCAATACCAAAACCTTTTTCTATTCTTATATTAAATATACAGATCCCTCACTTCCTTTTACTTATGTGAAACCTGAAATCATACACAGCTTGTGCTCCCCCTTCTGATATAAATAAGCACATGGATTTTGGGGAGCCAGTACGTCTACTGGTGACGTCACAAGGCATACTACCCAGTAAGGAAATGTTTGTCCAGGATGCAAAATGCTGAGCTTTGTTGTAGTTTCTCCGACTAGAGCACCTACAATTTAGCTCTTTGGAGATGGTAGAAATGTCATGCAAATTAAACTTGACATGTGCTATCTTCAGATCTTTACTGGAAATAAATTTTGTTCCCAGTGCTACCTATTGGTAACTTTTTGCAGAATGTTAAGAATAAATCAGCTTTTTCTAACAATTTATTGGGCAAGACTGTGAGAGAAGATAAGAGTAGTCTGCCAGTGATGTGTTAATGTTAACAGGCAAGTGAAACAGATGGTAGTATCAGTTCTCAAACCTGCTGCAAAACTTAGTGTCCAGATTTTCTCCCACCCCCCCTTTTTTTTTCTTTTGAGGGGTGTTTTTCTAGTTGGTGTTCTCAGCTTTTATTTGTACCCTTGTAACTGTAAGCAGTGCTAAGCGTGAAGGCAAAAGGCTCTCTAAAACACCAGAAATTGAATGCTTGTGTATTTGACATCAGTTAACTGGAGATGGGAGACTGCATTTACTCATTTTCTGTTGTGTTTTATGTATCTTAAGTACAATGAACAATTTTAATTTAATGCTCTTGTTTCAGTTGTGGGAAAAGTTTTAGAAATTACTGAACTGCCAGAAGGAATAACTCGTATGGAAGCAGAAAAACTATTTGGAGAACTTTTTAAAGTTGGTGCCAAGATTCGGTGGCTAAGGGATTCCCCGTGTCTACAAACACAGCAGCAGCACCATCGTCGTCACTGTGGCAGCGGAGATAGTAATGCGAACACTGAGCCATCCAAACCTAGTGACTTGGCCTCCACTTACACGGTTCTAGCTACGTTTCCTACGATGACGGCTGCTCAAAATGCATTGAAGAAACAAAGTAGTACCTCAGTTAACAAGTTCAGGCTGAGAACAAGCAAGAAGCACTACGACTTTCACATTCTGGAAAGGGCTAGTTCTCAGTAGTAGTTACATCAGTGGACACTCAGCCTTTACTACTTCCATGTCCTTCTCTCCTTGATTGGCTTGATGTTATGGGGTTTCTGCTCTCTTCATAGAGACTCCTGGGATGTTTTGTCATATGACATTAGCTGTTGAAGAATAACCCAGTGATCCAGCAAGATGAAGAAAAAAAAAATACAGAGTTAATCCCAGACAATAGCAAGCAATCATCTTTGAGACAGAAAGGCAGCTTTCTATAAGGAATGCTGTTAAAATGCCCCCTACTTTTATAGTAGTTTTGTTTTATATTTCTAAATTCTTGTATCGGATCCAAAGTTCTATTGTACAGCAAACGTTCATAACAAATTCCCATGTTCGGATTTGTATTTTATAATCCCTTTTCACAGCCAGCACACAGCTATCCGCTCCAAGGGAGGAACCTGGGGGAGCGGGGCGGGGCGGGGCGGGGGGGGAGGAAGAGAACGTTTTCAAGGAATTACACTCTGTTTTCTAGGAAACTACTCCAAGTCTTCAAGTTGACCTGTTCCTCTTCCCTTGTGTGTGTGTGTGTTTTTTTTTTTTTTTTTAAACAGTGTAATTTTAGTAACTAGTTAAATCCTTAGGTGTCTCTTTTCTTTTGAGATTCATTCAAGCAACGTCAAAAGAAATTACAAATTTGTGTGTACCCTTGAAGGATTTGCTTCTGATTCAACAAGTTTCATAGGTATATAAAGGGGAGTATGAATAGATTAGAAAGAATGTTCACAGAATCACATTTTAATATTTCTTCTTTTTAGCAAAAGTGTGAAGAGACTAAAATGTATCTTCAGAAGTGACAAAACGTTTGCACTTTAATTGTGTTCCCACCAGTATGGATCTTCCTCTTCTTTTTCACGCTAAGATAATTGTGTTTGATAAGTGCTGGAACCCTCTTTAATGGTTTAAGTTTTCATCATTTGCAGAGGATCACTGGACATCAAAGGACTCATTGCACATACAAATGAGACAAGAAACCTTTTTTCAATTTCTGTGTAATTTGCAAGGCTGTACAATGTGTGCTGATGCAAGCCTTTTTCAGTTCAAGAAAATAAATGTTTACAAACACAAACTTTTTCAGTGCACTTGTTTAAACCTTTAGGAGTCTCCTGAAACCTGGATGAACATATACTGAAGAGTTAGGAACCCTTTAAATTTGAGAAAAGGGAAACTTTGAAAAGTTTGAATATTTACAGTGTTTTCAAGAACCACTGTTTCTGGTCCTTTTACTGAAGTATTTAAGTTATCCTCTCCTTTGACATTTTTAAATGCTTCCCTATATAAGTAAAAAGAGAAAGAAATTGATCAGAGACTGTAAGGGACTGCTCCTGTTTCTTATTTTTATCACAGGCACTCACGTGCTGTGCATCAGTGAGTGATGTGCTCTGTTCACTTGCAGCTGTAGTTTTGTAAAAGGTAAATTTTGTAACTTTTGTAAGCCAGAAACTCAAGGTGTAAGTTATGTTTTAAAACGTATCTTAGATGGGAAAATATGAATTCAGTTGCCCAAACTAGCATTAATTTTAATCTTGTGTACCAAAAATTCTGACACTGAACAACCAAACATAAACATGTGAAGTGGCAAGAACTGTCCAATGCATATTTAATTCCTTCATGCTTAACATGATGTAAGCAGAATCAAAATACTCAGAAGAAAACGGATTTGCATGGGAACACTGTAGCCTAATGGATTAGGCAGATGAGACTTGATTCTGCAAAATGCTGTAGTGGCAAGTATCCACGTGACTAAAGCTAAACTTGCGCTTAGATGCTCTGCTGAAGCAGAGGTAAAATGTTCAGCATCAAGCCCTCAGTCAAAAGACAAATCTATTTATCCTTGTCCATCTTGCCAATTCAAGTTCACTTGCTGCTCCTTAAATGAAGAATCCTACCTGAGGGATAGATATAGTTCTGCCTCAGATTGGACTGCTGTAGCTCACTGTGTCCATGACCAAAGATGATCCAAACCCTGGGCTCTGCAGATTATGGTATGCAGAGGGGAATATTATAAAGAGAGAGAGAGAACATCACTACCAATCCACAGGCTCCATCATTCCCTCTTGCCAAATTCCAGCACTAGCCCAAGATTATAGTTTTAATCCTGTAAAAGAGATTTAACAGACTAAAGGTCTATAATAACAGTTGCTCACAACCCATAGAGACAGCTGCCTCCTGTAACTAACAAACTCCATGACAAGATTTGTTATAGAAAATGGAATAGATATCGGACAGTTTCTATCTATTTTGAATGACCTAAGAAGAGAGAACAACAAAGCCAAGTATTTCCAGACGATGCTGCTTGACTGACTTTCCTGTCATAACCAAAGAAGAAAATGTAATGAGGAAAGAGGTAAGCATGGAGAAAATGGAAACAATCCAAGCAAAAGGAGGGAATGAATGCAGTGATTATGAACAACTCCCAGGAAATATTTAATTCTTACCAAGTTAAGTTGTAAAGTGGAGTGAAAGTTGTCCTAGGAAAAAAAATTATATCCCTTAATAGGTTATTTGTATTCTAATCTTGAATCTGATACCCACCTACTATTACTACCGGCAAGTTACCATTTCTGAGCATCTGTTTTTCTTTCCGTTAAATAGGGGCAGTTACGTTTTTGACCTGGACGTATTGCTGTGAGACGGGCAGATATTCACAGGATTTTAGAAGCACCAAACGCCACCAGTGTCAAAAGCAAGCGCAAAAACTCATACATTTTTGTTTTATATTCTTTTGTTCGTTCCTAATTTTTTGTGGCATTTGGTCCTGTCTGTGGTAACTGAGCAGGGTTCATGAGACGTTAGCTTGCAAACTCATCTAACCAAGACCAACAGTACTTTCCTGGATTTTACTAGTCTTTCTTACTGCTTTTCCCCCTTTTGGTTCATCAAAACACACAAGCCCAGGGATTACATACAAAAACCGTGGAACTAGATTTGTTCCGTAGATTTGAATCACGTTCTAGAAAGCAAGTAAGTGTACTTCATGGCATGAAATAGACGTTGTATGTAAAACTTGGGTTCTCAGGTGTTCTCAACTAGTGTTCTGGTACTAGTGTACTTGAGTTTCCTGTCTGTTACTTAACACTGTAGCCATTTTTAAATAATGACAGAAGGAATTAAGTGAGGATTTACCTTATATTGCAGCAATACACATTTCATTTGACTAGAAGCATTTCTTATGACTTTTAAAAGCTGAAGGAAAAACAATGGAAGAAACAGAAAACACAAACAAAATTGGTAATTGCCTTGTACAAAGAAGGCTACTACTTCTTGATTTTAACTTGTTAATTAATGCAGTATTTTTTCTGTATAAAATGCCTTCCTGAACTTGTGAACGGATTTAATATTATTTGTGATGGTAAACTGAAAATGATTGTTCAAAATTAAGAAAAATAGCCTTGTTTCTGGAAGCACTCAAAGACATGCACATGAGGTTGCGTTCAGGCAAATCATAACAGCACAGCTGAACAATCTACTCTCTCTCCTCACTGCTGCCGCACTAAAGCCTCACGTTCTTTGTAAGCCTCACGTCCGGTAAGACTGGATTGATAAAAAGTGAAACGTAGATAATGTGCATCTTGCCTCTTACCTGAAGCTTCTCACTGTGCAAATTTATTCTATTTTAATGTTGAAATCCTTCTCTCTCACCCATGCATGCAAACTTGGAGGAAGATGACCATAAAAAGGAGAGCACTGGTTATGATTTCAGTGCAACATCTACAAAGAAGGAAATCTAGCACTGTGGTGGAGACTGAAGAATCTATAGCACGTAGGTGTTTCTACCTGTAAACATCTCTAATCTTGCTGGGCTTTTAAAAGACAGAGGCCTCTATGTTGTGTTTCAAGACCCAGATGGGCATAGTGGCACATAGATGGGAATTTAATTTTATCAAAGTATGAGAAAAATTGTTTAGCTTGAGGAATCAAAAAAGGTACATGCGTACCCAACATGCCTTTCACAGTAAGACAATTTTTTTTTTCTCTTGCACTATACAAATACCTCCGTATCCTTTTCCCTCTCTACTGATGCAAGCCATGTCTCTCTCAAGGTGGAGTAAATAGCCGTATTTTCATGCTTTGACACTTACTCGTGCCTTAAAACTTTGTATTTGATGTGCTGGTTGTTTTGAGCAATCTCGATGTTCTGTTGTTTGAGTTAATCTTGTACTAACTTGTTTAGATGTCCAGGAGGAAGTCAGAATTAAAATTACAACTAACTTTTGCAAAGATATTTTTAGCTTGATCATGTATTTTTTTTTCCTTAAAAAATTGGTGTGGGCTGTAATTTCCTCTATTTAGCCCTGAGGCAAAGAATGTTGATAAAAAGCTTTGGAGAAAAGTGAACTACTTTTACGTGAGTCATGAAAAATTATTCTAGCTAGAATTTTTATTTTAGTCTTTATTTCTAGCTCGGAAGGACTTATTCCAATCCCTTCAATGTTTCTACTGCTCAGTCTTCCTGAGGATTGATATTCTGCCTCTATTTAAAATAATTAGTCTAGTTTTCAGTGATCAGGTGAGCACTCACTGAAATCCTGAACCTACTCACATTTAAAATGTTTGGATTTAGAGTATTTTTGGCCAGTGACATCAACAGGTATAAAAAACTGCTGAAGTGCAGAATGTTAATGTTACTTCATTTTGGAAGCCTTAATTCTCAGGTGTAGACCAGAACCCATAAAAGGGCCTAATTTCCAAAACTTTCTGAAAATTCAGTCCCTTTAACTCCTCTTATTTTGCAACTTCAGGGCAAAGTCGCTATTCAAATTTGAAAACTTCAGATACAAGGTCTACTGTAAATGAAGTTGCCTTTTGGCTGACTTGTGAATGTAAGCAATTATGTTCCTATCGTAACGAGCAGGAGCCTTCTTTTAGTACAAAGGCTATCTGGTGTGTTTAAGCTTGTAGGACTGGAGTTTGGACCTGACTCTCTTTGGCAGCCCTTATTAACAAGGTTTTTGTTTTTTTTTTTTTTATCCTGCTTGTAACTCCTTGACTTTTTGTTATGTTTGCTCATTGTCAAAATTGGTCAGGTTGAGACTGGATCTTGCTTAGAGATGTTTAAGGAGCGTTAAAATTTGGTCTAGGACCCAAAAACTTTAACTTTTCCTGGGTGTTTTTTTGTGTATGTGTTTTTGTTTTTGTTTTTAATTTATGTATCAGTCTTACTGGTAATGCACATAAGCTCAGTCACGATATAGGATGCATGCAACTGTAATGAATTGTTTTTGCACTTCTGAAGAGAAGTCTGGATGTCAGATGAAGACTAGTGCTGTAAACCAAAGAGCTATATAGGAAAATCTGTGTTTCTGATAGTTGTATGGTTTCCAAACTGGTCCAAAGTATAAAAATAAAATGTGCTGCTGGGTATAATGCTTAATATTGGAGTTTATTCTTAATTCAGTTCCTGTGCCTCAGGTAACTGAGAATCTGCATTAGACCAAAACCACAAGGATTAATTAGAGAGACTAGTATGCAGCATAGCCTTGCCCTTCTCATGGTTTCTAAATTGGTTATCCTGAGGAATAGCACTATTAAGTATGCTATATTAATCTACCACCCTGATTTACAGGTACTGGATGACTTGTCTTCATGTGTTACCTCAAATTCTTTACCATTTTCGCTTGACTTAAACTGATACCTGGATTTGTTAATGGACCGTTGTTTAGTGCCAAGTAACAGTGCAATTAAAAAACAGTAATTCCCTAATAATCCAAGTAGTTCTAAACTTTTTTTTGGGGGGGGGAGGGAAAAGTCTCTTAAAATGTAAATGGGTCTCTTGCATTTTTTTCCAAACTCGCTACAGAATTCAAATTTGTCCATCTTAACAAACTAGCTGAAATTTTACAGGAGCAAGGCATGTAATTTCAGTCAAACTTGGCTCGACATGTTCTGAAGAGTCTTAGACTTGCAATAGTGGATGCTCTGGAGGTGGATTGTGAGGTTTCTTCTGGTGTTCCCAGATTGCTTGTAATAGCAACATTGTGTAAGCCAGGTGGATGTGGGAGAGGCCTTTCAAACTTGCTTAAAAAAAAAAATCAGGAATTTACCTTGATCCATGTGCAATTTCCCTTTTTTCCAGGGATTTATGTATCCCCTTTATAGGCATATACACGTAACAGGGATGACTTTTTGTTCATCTCTGCAAAAGATATGTTGTTTAAATTCATACCATCCAGACTATGAAACGAGACCTTTAGCACTGCTCTTTAATCTATTTGGTGCCATGATGAAAGAAATCACAAGAACGGCCCTGACACCAGAAGCGCTGCGCGGTGACAGCTGCTCCCCCCTCCAAGCGTCCTGCCCCAGTCTTGCACGCAGGTACAGCAACTTACCCAGTGAGCAGCACTTCTGTGCAACTTGTTTGCCATGTGCTGCATCTTGAAAAATACCACGTGTTTGGTATGCTGTTGCTAATAGTGATTCACCCCATTTCACTACAGCTTCTTATCTTTCCTTGTTGTCGTTACCTATTGATTTTTCTAACTAAGCTCCTGGTGAGGCGAAGTACACCTGTCAAAAACCTTCCAGGCTGGGAGCCTGTACTTTTTCTGCTTGTTAAATGTTTTACAGTTACCCAGGAACACATATCCACAGCCCTTTCTTTGTGGCAGTTTTCCTGAAAATCTTATGCGTGGCATTCTTCCTAAAACGTTAACCTGGGGGTACGTGGAAGAAAGAGC